ATCCCTATAGACCTGACTTTCCTTGACTGGATGGAAAGGCATACACACACAGCCATGCCCAGATCACCCAACCCACCGTCCAGCAGGTCGGGCAGGAACCCGAGCATGTCAATGTCGGGCACGCTGTGCTGTGAAGCACGGTGATCCCTGAGACGCGACGTGCATATGACTGCACATACAAAATTCAAATGACCCACCCACCGTCCAGCAGGTCGGGCAGGAACCCGAGCATGTCAATGTCGGGCACGCTGTGCTGTGAAGCACGGTGATCCCTGAGACGCGACGTGCATATGACTGCACATACAAAATTCAAATGACCCACCGTCCAGCAGGTCGGGCAGGAACCCGAGCATGTCGATGTCGGGCACGCTGTGCTGTGAAGCACGGTGATCCCTGAGACGCGACGTGCATATGACTGCACATACAAAATTCAAATGACCCACCGTCCAGCAGGTCGGGCAGGAACCCGAGCATGTCGATGTCGGGCACGCTGTGCTGTGAAGCACGGTGATCCCTGAGACGCGACGTGCATATGACTGCACATACAAAATTCAAATGACCCACCGTCCAGCAGGTCGGGCAGGAACCCGAGCATGTCAATGTCGGGCACGCTGTGCTGTGAAGCACGGTGATCCCTGAGACGCGACGTGCATATGACTGCACATACAAAATTCAAATGACCCACCGTCCAGCAGGTCGGGCAGGAACCCGAGCATGTCGATGTCGGGCACGCTGTGCTGTGAAGCACGGTGATCCCTGAGACGCGACGTGCATATGACTGCACATACAAAATTCAAATGACCCACCGTCCAGCAGGTCGGGCAGGAACCCGAGCATGTCGATGTCGGGCACGCTGTGCTGTGAAGCACGGTGATCCCTGAGACGCGACGTGCATATGACTGCACATACAAAATTCAAATGACCCACCGTCCAGCAGGTCGGGCAGGAACCCGAGCATGTCGATGTCGGGCACGCTGTGCTGTGAAGCTAAGTTGGATCTTACGTTTACGGTTCCTTACGTTTTCGTAAAATTACGACAATTTTTACGTTTACGAACGGTGGCCCTGATTCGGCCTTACGTTTACGGTCACCTCAAAACTTTTTTGAGCTGCCCAAGGGAAAAGAAATGACCAGAGTATTAGGGGGATTCATTGGGTAAACCATGAATCTGAATTCTCGATTCAGATCCAAGTTCGACAAGGGTGGTGTCAACCTAGCAGCTCGTTCGTAATCTATCGTGTTTCTCTCCTACTAACCAGGTCAACGCTGAATCTGAAACTTTCACGGACTCAAAAGGCCCTCCATACGTAGTAAAGTCGCTATTCTAGAAAAACACACGTCGGATTAGTAGTAAGGATCTAGTACACGTACATAATCCTGGAAAAAAAAGCTCTAAACTTTTTTTTCCTGCCCGCCTCATACTTACGCGTAATTTACGTTTTCGTTTACGTTTACGCGAAATTTACGTTTACGTGACCTCCAAAAACGTAAGAGCCCAACTTAGCTGTGAAGCACGGTGATCCCTGAGACGCGACGTGCATATGACTGCACATACAAAATTCAAATGACCCACCGTCCAGCAGGTCGGGCAGGAACCCGAGCATGTCGATGTCGGGCACGCTGTGCTGTGAAGCACGGTGATCCCTGAGACGCGACGTGCATATGACTGCACATACAAAATTCAAATGACCCACCGTCCAGCAGGTCGGGCAGGAACCCGAGCATGTCGATGTCGGGCACGCTGTGCTGTGAAGCACGGTGATCCCTGAGACGCGACGTGCATATGACTGCACATACAAAATTCAAATGACCCACCGTCCAGCAGGTCGGGCAGGAACCCGAGCATGTCGATGTCGGGCACGCTGTGCTGTGAAGCTAAGTTGGATCTTACGTTTACGGTTCCTTACGTTTTCGTAAAATTACGACAATTTTTACGTTTACGAACGGTGGCCCTGATTCGGCCTTACGTTTACGGTCACCTCAAAACTTTTTTGAGCTGCCCAAGGGAAAAGAAATGACCAGAGTATTAGGGGGATTCATTGGGTAAACCATGAATCTGAATTCTCGATTCAGATCCAAGTTCGACAAGGGTGGTGTCAACCTAGCAGCTCGTTCGTAATCTATCGTGTTTCTCTCCTACTAACCAGGTCAACGCTGAATCTGAAACTTTCACGGACTCAAAAGGCCCTCCATACGTAGTAAAGTCGCTATTCTAGAAAAACACACGTCGGATTAGTAGTAAGGATCTAGTACACGTACATAATCCTGGAAAAAAAAGCTCTAAACTTTTTTTTCCTGCCCGCCTCATACTTACGCGTAATTTACGTTTTCGTTTACGTTTACGCGAAATTTACGTTTACGTGACCTCCAAAAACGTAAGAGCCCAACTTAGCTGTGAAGCACGGTGATCCCTGAGACGCGACGTGCATATGACTGCACATACAAAATTCAAATGACCCACCGTCCAGCAGGTCGGGCAGGAACCCGAGCATGTCGATGTCGGGCACGCTGTGCTGTGAAGCACGGTGATCCCTGAGACGCGACGTGCATATGACTACACATACAAAATTCAAATGACCCACCGTCCAGCAGGTCGGGCAGGAACCCGAGCATGTCGATGTCGGGCACGCTGTGCTGTGAAGCACGGTGATCCCTGAGACGCGACGTGCATATGACTGCACATACAAAATTCAAATGACCCACCGTCCAGCAGGTCGGGCAGGAACCCGAGCATGTCGATGTCGGGCACGCTGTGCTGTGAAGCTAAGTTGGATCTTACGTTTACGGTTCCTTACGTTTTCGTAAAATTACGACAATTTTTACGTTTACGAACGGTGGCCCTGATTCGGCCTTACGTTTACGGTCACCTCAAAACTTTTTTGAGCTGCCCAAGGGAAAAGAAATGACCAGAGTATTAGGGGGATTCATTGGGTAAACCATGAATCTGAATTCTCGATTCAGATCCAAGTTCGACAAGGGTGGTGTCAACCTAGCAGCTCGTTCGTAATCTATCGTGTTTCTCTCCTACTAACCAGGTCAACGCTGAATCTGAAACTTTCACGGACTCAAAAGGCCCTCCATACGTAGTAAAGTCGCTATTCTAGAAAAACACACGTCGGATTAGTAGTAAGGATCTAGTACACGTACATAATCCTGGAAAAAAAAGCTCTAAACTTTTTTTTCCTGCCCGCCTCATACTTACGCGTAATTTACGTTTTCGTTTACGTTTACGCGAAATTTACGTTTACGTGACCTCCAAAAACGTAAGAGCCCAACTTAGCTGTGAAGCACGGTGATCCCTGAGACGCGACGTGCATATGACTGCACATACAAAATTCAAATGACCCACCGTCCAGCAGGTCGGGCAGGAACCCGAGCATGTCGATGTCGGGCACGCTGTGCTGTGAAGCACGGTGATCCCTGAGACGCGACGTGCATATGACTGCACATACAAAATTCAAATGACCCACCGTCCAGCAGGTCGGGCAGGAACCCGAGCATGTCAATGTCAAGCACAGTGATCGAGCCGACCAGAACAAAGCACGTACGCATGACAGCAGGATAATACAAAGCTCATTCCACCCACCATCCAGCAGGTCAGGTAGGAACCCTAGCATGTCGATGTCGGGGACGCTGTGCTGTCAAGCATGGTGATCCCTTGGAGTCGACTCAGAAGGCAGACACATCATCCACTCCACATGAACCCGACAACACAGCACTGAGTCACTGACAACCCACCATCCAGTAGATCAGGTAGAAAGCCGAGCATGTCAATATCAGGTACGCTGTCAAGCACGGTGATCCAGCCAACCAGGAACTGCTGCACGAAGGGGTTGAGCACACTCATGTGCGCTCGGAGGAGAGGGATGAACTCCTCTATGCTGCACGCACGGGGGTATGGGGGATAGGGGACAACATTACCATATCTCAGCTCCATCCGGCTATTTCCTTTAGGCGGTCTTTTGTAGTTATAGGTGGTGGTGATGCAAAGAGTGCTGAATGCAACGCGCACTAATTTGTTTGAGACGTCTCAGAACACGCTTGTGGTTATGGGTGGTGATGCAAAGAATGCTGAAGGGCAAGGTGTATTGATCTGGTGGAGCAGGAAACGATGCGACACGACTGGGCAACGGGCACGAGGTGACTTTTGAGTCGTCTCAACAGTCAGGGCGAGGTGTGCTAATTTGGAGCAGGGAACAATGCAACACGACGGAGGGGAGAGTGGTGGGCGAGTAGTATGTAGAAGACAAACCACACGGGAGAGCGGAAACAGCAGAGAGTAAATGTGATAATGAATACTCCTCTCTCTACAGAGGCGATGAATGGTAACATGTTAGATGTTAAACAACAAAGGCGGTGGATGGGAACGAGAGGAGACAGCAGGAATGGGGAAGGAATTGAGAAGTGAAGGGGGCGGATCGAGGCAGAGAGAGGTAGTGATGAGGGTAGGTGGAGAGGCACCTGAATTGGTCGCTGACAGTGACTATGTCCTGCATGCAACGTACGATAGGAGGGGTGAGGCATGGAGGAAGGTACAATGAGTGTGTGTGGTAGTGGTAGAGGGGAAGTCTGACTGGGGCAGGAGGGCACCTGCCTGAATTGGTCGCTGACCGTGACTATGTCCTGCAGAGAGGGCAGGCATGAGAAGGGGTGATGATGGAGCAGACAGATGGAGTGTGGAATGAGTGTTGATGGAGTGGATGGTGGATGGTGGACGAGTCTTCAATACGAACCAGGGTTTTGATTCCCTGCCTCCTAAGGCTTCTACGCTGCTGCTTCAAGATATGGCCATAGCCTTCGCCAAGAGCAGCAGGCAAGGAGCAGCTCATTCACTCACTCAATCACCCACTCCCTCCCTCCCCCTCCCTCACTCACGCCTCACCTTCACGAGTCGGTCCAGCAGGTGAGCAGCAGACTGCACGTTGGGGTCCAGGTCAGCAGACAGCTTGCAGAGGGCGCTGGATACCCAAGTACACACCCTCACACACCCACTCCCTTTCTTACTCACTTCTCACCTTGACAAGCCTGTCCAGCAGGTGCGCAGCGGACTGCACGTTGGGGTCCAGGTCGGCAGACAGCTTGCACAGGGCGTTGAACACATCGTTGAAGAACACTATGAAGTCGCCACGTGTCACCTGGTGATAGGACAGACGGAGGGAGGGGGTGTAAGCAAGGTGCAAAGCGGTTGTGAACGGTGCCCACGTTGCATCCATGTCATCTGTATCAACTCCTGAGTTGCCTCTTGTAAGGGCTTTAAGACGTCTCAAAACTTGCCTCTTGTAACGGTTCATTCCACACATTCTTGTTAGGTGCATGCACGATGGAGTGCATGCATACTCATTCGCATACCCATTTAGAGTGTAAAAGCCACGTGATAGAAGTTGGGTTTTGAGACGCCTCAAAAACCCAGCTTTTGTGAGTCAACTCACAACACAAGTCACCGTGGCACGCCAGAAGCAGACGGTTAGGTTTATCACCTTGGCGATGTTTGTAGAGCGCCTCACGGCGTAGTAGCGCACATGACTGAGACAAGAATGTTGAAGCCACGGTTGGGGATGTTAAAAGGTGATCTTTTTATTAGGGAAGGTTAGGGCATCACCTTGGCGATGTTGTAGAGTGCTTCACAGGCGTAGTAGCGCACGCGGCTGTCTGAGTCTGAGAACGACTTGAGCACCTCTGGCACAATGCGCTGGTGGGGGGGAAGAGGGGGGTGGGATGCATTGCATTGCACGGATGCACAAGAAGTGAACATGAGGGGAGGCGCCTGAAAAGAAAGCGCCTCACAGGCGTAGTAGCGCACTCTGCTGTCTGAATTCGAGAACGACTTGAGCACCTCTGGCACAATGCGCTGGTGGGGGGGGGGAAGGGGGGAGGGGGGAAGGGGGAGGGGGGGGCGGAGAGAGAGTGGGGGAGGGTGAGTGGGTGGGGGAGTGGCAGGCATAGCAGCGCACGCGGCTGTCCGAGTCCGAAAACGACTTGAGCACCTCGGGCACGATGCGCTGGGGGGGGGGGGGTGGGGAGAGGAGGGAGGGGAGAGAGTGTGGGGGAGGGAGGGTGAGTGGGGGAGTGGCAGGCGTAGCGTAGTAGCGCACACACGGCTGTCCGAGTCCGAAAACGACTTGAGCACCTCGGCACGATGCGCTGGTGGGGAGGGGGCGTTGGTGTTGGGGGTGGAGAAGGGAGGGAGGGAGTGGCGGGGGTGCACGTGAGGGGAGGCACGCAGCAGGGGTGGTCACTCAAGGATATGTGTATGTGTGCTCAAGGGGACTGGAACCCCTCAGGCACGATGCGGTGCAGGGGGAAGCGGGGAGAAAGGTTCTGAAGGGTTGTTTTGAGAATTCCCAACCACTCCCACCCACTCCCACCCACCCTCAGCTCCAACGTACATCGAGGTAATGACTGGCGTAAAGGCCCAGCCCCACTGTGACAACCGCCAGCCGGCCGCTATGAGACCATTCAAGAGGGTGTGCTGCATGCACATGCTCACATCACATGCACTGCCACCCGCCCGCACACCACGCACGTCCTCCTCTGCCCCGTTCGTTCACACACCACCTTCCCATCCCCACCCCCAGCCAACGTACATCGAGGTAGTGACCGGCGTGAGGGCCCAGCCCCACTGTGACCGCCGCCAGCCCTAAGAGACCCGGAGAGTGAGACGTGTGTGCGCATTACGCAGTGCCATGGATCATAGATGCACCATCCCATCCCACCACTCAACCCCGACCCCCCCCCACACGTACATCGAGGTAGTGACTGGCGTCAGGGCCCAGCCCCACTGTGACCGCCGCCAGCCCTATGAGACCCCCCTGGAAGAGGAGGTGTGTGCATCCCCATACCACATGCAAGGCCAATGGATGCATCATCATTCCATACCCCCGCTGCCAGGCTGTCCCCCCCTCCCCCCCCACCACCACACGTACATCGAGGTAGTGACTGGCATCAGGGCCCAGCCCCACTGTGACCGCCGCCAGCCCTATGAGACCCCCCTGGAACCATGGGCAGGGAGACAGGGCAGTGCAGAGACCGGGGGATGGTACACGGAGGGCCCGTGCAGGCAAAGAGGGAGGGCGGGGGAAGTGGGGGAGCGGAGGAGAAAACTTTTGAGTCAACTCAACTCAAGGATCAGGGAAGGAGTTGGTAGACAGACAGGGCGGGATGAGACATGCAGCGCGGAGTATAGGCAGAGGGAAGTGGGGGGGAGGAAGAAAGGGGAGGGGAAGGGGAGGGGGAGGGTAGGGGGAGGGGAGAGGGGGGAGAGGAGAAGGCATACGAGTTGGGTAAGTGGGTGGGCTGGTCAACATGCTAAAAGGTAGGAGATCATGTACCGGAGGGGGTAGGTAGGCAGCTCAAAAGTGAGTGGATGTGGATTGGGGGCAGTGGCTAGCTAGATTCAATGAATGTTTCTCTTGTTCTTGCTTTCCCCCCTGCTTACGTCCTATCTTTCTCCTCCTGCACCAATGCACTATTCAGCCCACTCCCACCACACACCACCCTTCCGAGCCATGGCATTTTGCATTATTGCGCATTCCTCATCACCCACTCCTCACCCCTTCCTCATCCGGTCTTCCCTCTCCAAAGTCACCTCCACCCACCTTTCTCTGGTTCGGCTGTGCTGACGTAGCGTAATCATTGGCCAGCAGGGAAATGATTGCGTTGATCCGCTCATCATTGCCCTCTGCTACAGCCGCCTTCACTGCCGTCTCGATCTGCACAGCACACGTAGCACAAGGAGGGGTTGGCGGGGGGGGGGGGGGGGGGGGGGGAGAGCGGGAGAGGGAAGGTGCGAGTGAGAGGGGGAGAGTGTGAGCGTTAGAAAGGCGTTCATTCATCCGTTCATCATTGCCCTCTGCTACAGCCGCCTTCACTGCCGTCTCGATCTGCGCAGCACACATAGCACAATGAGGGAAATGGAGGCCGGCAAAGGGGGAGGGGGGATTGGGGATGAAGAGAAGAGAGGGAGGGAGAAAAAAAAAGTAGTTTTCCTCATCTTTCTCCTCCGCTACAGCCGCATTCACTGGTGTCTTGATCTGCACAGTACGCGTAGATCAAGACACGAAGGAGAGAGAGAGTGAGGGGGGCTAAGGAGAGAGAGAGGGGATCAAGGGGAGGAAGAGGAGTGAAAGGAAGCGTGAGGGAGTCAAGGAACGGCAATCTCAATGGAGATTGAAGGAAGGTCAGCAGCCGCGGCAGCACAAAGCACTTGCCCCCATCCTCCCGTACTACCCTCTCTCGCTCTCCCCTTTCCCCTTCCTCTCCCCGTTTCCCCCTTCCCCCACTCTCCGCGCACCTCGAGCGCGGCCGCCTTGCGCTTGTCGTAGAGCTTATCGGAGAGGTTGCGCAGAAACTGCTTCCCCCACAGCCCCGCCCCCACCCATCCGTTCCCCCCGCTTTCCCCCAACCGTTCCCCCCGCTTCCCCCAACCCGTTCCCCGCGCTTTCCCCCTACGCGCACCTCGAGCGCGGCCGCCTTGCGTTTGTCGTAGAGCTTGTCGGAGAGGTTGCGCAGCACCTGCGCGGGGAGCAGCGCTGCGCCGTCGATCATCCTGACGGACGGCTAGATTCGTCGCTACTAGGATGGAGAGAAGAGAGATGACGCGTATGTCGTCAGCAAAACGCCATCCTTACCGCCAGGCAACAATCGCGCCGCCTGCCGCTTTGAAGCTAAACAATTGTATAACTCTCCATTTCATTAGCTGTCTACGCATTCCAAGTTAGGGCGTGTTACATTTCGATTTTTCCGAACGGTTCGGACAATTACCACTCTCAATCGTATTAAAACCCACTTGAACAAATTGTTCTACAAATATACCACTTTCAACCGTTCTGACGGTCTGGACTGTTTGGGGAACAATCGAAAATGTAACACGCCCTTACAACGGTGTAGGTTTGCCTCGCACGGCATTTCGAAACGCCACATCATCGTGGTTCGTGGAACGACCAATCTGAAATTGCGAACTTGGGGTATACTTCTGCGAACTAGTAGGTTTCGCCGCGGCCTGAAATCGACCCTGACAACGAGGAATTTATCGAACCTCGTTTTGTAAATTATCTCACTTGAAGTGCCTGCATTCAGCCCACGATTCGGACAAATTACTAGTCTTTATTATGCCTCATATAGCACTGATAAAAAAACAGAGCGTTTTCGGCTGGACACAGAAACACAAAACAAATATTCTAACAAGCCTTGCAAGCTTTTCTACAGTTCCCGGTGTACGCCCCGTCCCCAAGCATATACGCCGGGTTCTTTTTACACTCTCCCAGCGCCGCCCACTCCTCACACTTAGGGTTCAAATCCTCACAGCCGTGCGCCAGTGGTCGGGCCTCAAAGGACCGCACGTGGATCCACTTGGTTGCTGACCACTTCTCCCCGCGGATGACGGGACAGCTGGCATGCAATGATGACTGGTCGGTGGTGCCGTCCGGGTGGAGGGAGTAGAAGAGCAGCGCGTCTCCCTTCTGAGGCTTGACTGGTGAGGGAGCGAAGGGGAAGAGGGTCGGGAGCGGGGGAGAGCAGGATGGAGAACACGCAATGATGACTGGACTGTGGTGCCGTCCGGGTGGAGGGAGTACAAAAGAAGAACATCCCACTTCCGAGGCTTGACTGGCAAAGAAGGGAGAGGGGGGAAAAGGAGGGAGAAGAGAGGGTGAGGGGATGCAGAGGGCGTTGAGATAGGGCGTGCAATGATGACTGGTCTGTGGTGCTGTCCGGTTGAAGGGAGTAGAGAGCAGTGCTTCCCTCTCCTGAGGCTTGACTGGCGGGGGGAATGGAGGGGAAGAGGGAGGGGTGGGGGTTGGGCGCAGGGGTTAGGAGAGAGGTAGCAACGATTGTTGAGGTGATCGACACTGATACCCAACGGCCACTCCCACTCTCTCCCCCTTGTCATACATGCCCGCCCGTGTGCATGAGCGCACGCGAGTGCTCACACACACACACACACCCACACACACACACGCGCACACGCCCACGGACACACGCGCACACACCCATGGACACTTGTGCACAAGCCCACCCACACACACGCACATACCCGCACACACACGCACACCCGTGCACGCGAGCACACACACGCACACGCACTCCCATATTACCACTTCCCACCGAGCATACCTGCCAGGCCTCTGTTTGCACAGTCAGATGCAGTGGCGTCCATAGCAGGCTTGGGCTGGAACAGAGAACAGAGAGGAGAGAGCAGAGAGCAAAGGGGCAGAGGGAATGAGAAGAGGAGAGAAGAGAGAAGAGAGGGGAGAGGCGAGGGTTGAGGAAAAGCATCAATTGCCTATCTAGCTCAATTGCCTTCCTCCACCATGGCGAGATACATGAGCACCGTAGCCACGCGGTGGCCGCCCATCTGTGTGTTGACAGCGTCGAAGAAATAGTCAAAATGCGCATTGTGCTTCTGCCCTATGTCGCTTTGATGCGCCTCAATAAAGTGCTTCTGCCCTATGTCGCTTTGATGTGCCTCAATAAAGTGCTTCTGCCCTATGTCGCTTTGATGTGCCTCAATAAAGTGCTTCTGCCCTATGTCGCTTTGATGTGCCTCAATAAAGTGCTTCTGCCCTACGGCCGCCCATATGTTTGCTCACACGCGTACCTCTGCTGTAGCCAGGTACCAGCAGCACACTGCAAAGCACCCAGCGCATACCTGCGCATTGGTAAACACCGTCTCCCCTCCTTCCTCCCAACTTGTCAAATACATGAGCACAGTGACCACCCTGTGCCCGCCCATCTGTGTGTTGACCTGTCTAACCCCTCTCACACTCCCACCACATCAACCACTGAACCCACACCTGCGCATTGGGAAACACGGTCTCTCCCCCTGCCTCCACAGTGGTGAGATACATGAGCACCGTCGCCACCCGGTGCCCACCCATCTGTATGCTGCCACACCCATCTCTGTTTTCACACAGTACACACCTGCGCATTGGGAAACACGGTCTCTCCCCCTGCCTCCACAGTGGTGAGATACATGAGCACCGTCGCCACCCGGTGCCCGCCCATCTGTATGCTGCCACACCCATCTCTGTTTTCACACAGTACACACCTGCGCATTGGGAAACACGGTCTCTCCCCCTGCCTCCACAGTGGTGAGATACATGAGCACCGTCGCCACCCGGTGCCCACCCATCTGTATGCTGCCACACCCATCTCTGTTTTCACACAGTACACACCTGCGCATTGGGAAACACGGTCTCTCCCCCTGCCTCCACAGTGGTGAGATACATGAGCACCGTCGCCACCCGGTGCCCGCCCATCTGTATGCCGCCACACCCATCTCTGTTTTCACACAGTACACACCTGCGCATTGGGAAACACGGTCTCTCCCCCTGCCTCCACAGTGGTGAGATACATGAGCACCGTCGCCACCCGGTGCCCGCCCATCTGTATGCTGCCACACCCATCTCTGTTTTCACACAGTACACACCTGCGCATTGGGAAACACGGTCTCTCCCCCTGCCTCCACAGTGGTGAGATACATGAGCACCGTCGCCACCCGGTGCCCGCCCATCTGCGTGTTGACTGAGTCAAAGAAATAGTCAAAGTGGGCCTCGTACTTCTGCCCTATCTCATACTTGAGGATCTGAATGGCTTCACCATGCTCTGTTTGGGCACACAGGGAAAGGGCACAACACAGCAATGAGCGTGGAGTGAGCGACGTGGAAATAGTCAAAGTGCGTCTCGTACTTCTGCCCTATCTCGTACTTGAGAATCTGAACGGCTTCGCCGTGCTCTGATGGACGGAGAAAAACGGGGAAAAGAAGGAGAGGTGAGAGAGGAGAGCGAAGGCATCCAGGCATGTGGTTGTACTTCTGCCCTATCTCGTACTTTAGGATCTGAATGGCCTCTCCGTGCTCTGATGGACGGAGAAAAACGGGGAAAAGAAGGCGAGGTGAGAGAGGAGAGCGAAGGCATCCAGGCATGTGGTCGTACTTCTGCCCTATCTCGTACTTGAGAATCTGAACGGCTTCGCCGTGCTCTGATGAGGCACAAAGGGAGAGAGGAAGGACGAGAGGACGAGGGGAGCAAGGAATCAACAGCCAGCAGGGAAATAAGCATGGGCGCGTGTAGTGAGGGTGTTTTTGAGACGTCTCAAAAACACCCTCACTACACGGGAAACAAGGGAATCAACAGCCAGCAGGGAAATAAGCATGGACGGGAGTGGGAATAGTCGTTATGCATCGCATCGCACTTCTGCCCAATTTTGTACTGAGGATCTATGGCTTCTCCATGCTCTGATGGACAGACAGAGATGGAGAAGAAAGAAAGGTGAAAGGAAAGGAGCAAGCAAAGGCACATCACGGCATATGGCCATACCTCTCGTGATACAGAGGAAAGGCGCTCTCGTTGGGGAACTTGCCTGAGCTCGTGAGGCGACAGGAGAGCAATATTACCTTTGGGGAGGAAGGACTTGAGACGACTCAAAAATATTACCTTTGGGGAGGAAGGACTTGAGTCGACTCAAAAATATTACCTTTGGAGAGGAAGGACTTGAGTCGACTCAAAAATATTACCTTTGCGTTCCTCTATGCGCTTGACAATGTCGTCCTGGTACTTGTTGAGAAACCACTTTTGAGAATTCTCAAAAGTGGTTGAGAAACGTGCCTGAGCTTGTGAGAGGACAGCAGTAAGCATACCTTTTGGAAGGAAGGTCCAGGCAGCAATTCGCTCTTCTATGTGCTTCACGATGTCATCCTGGTATTTGTTGAGAAACGTGCCAGAGCTTGTGCGGATCTCGCTCAGCACGCTCTTCCCCGACTCGTTGTCTGCTACAGATGAGCGCGTCACCTTGTCCCGGGCCTTTCAAGGGAGGGAGAGGGGGGTGTTTGGGGTGTGGGAGGGAGGACGATCTCACTCAGCACGCTCTTGCCCGACTCGTTGTCCGCTACTGACGACCGCGTCACCTTGTCTCGTGCCTAGGAGGGAGGAAGGGGGGTTAGCGGCAGGGGGGGGGGGTGGGTTGTGTGTGGGGGGAGAGGGAGCTCGTGCGGATCTCGCTCAGCATGCTCTTTCCCGACTGGTTGTCCGCTACCGATGACCGTGTCACCTCGTCCCGCGCCTGGTGGGAGAAGGGAGAGAGATGTGTGGAGAGGATGTGGGGGGGAGGGAAGCTCGTGCGGATCTCACTCAGCACGCTCTTTCCCGACTCGTTGTCTGCTATCGATGACCTTGTCACCTTGTCGCGGGCCTGGAAGAAGGTGTTGGGGGTGTTGGGGATGTGGTGACTGAGAGGGTGAAGGAGGATCTCACTCAGCACGCTCTTGCCCGACCTGTTGTCCGCTACTGAGGAGCGTGTCACCTTGTCACGCACCTAGGAGGGAGGAAGGGAGGGGGATGTGTGGATTGTATGTGGGGGAGGTAGGAGCTTGTGCGGATCTCACTCAGCACGCTCTTGCCCGACCTGTTGTCCGCTACTGAGGAGCGTGTCACCTTGTCACGCACCTAGGAGGGAGGAAGGGAGGGGGATGTGTGGATTGTATGTGGGGGAGGAAGGAGCTTGTGCGGATCTCACTCAGCACGCTCTTGCCCGACTGATTGTCCGCTACCGATGAGCGTGTCACCTTGTCGCGGGCCTGGGAGGGGAGGGAGGGGGAAGGGGAGGTAGGGATGTGACAGACTTGTGAATGAGAAGAGCGAAACGGCCTCAGATGACCATGTTTTGAGACGTCTCGAACCAAATGACCATGTCACCTTGTCACGCGCCTGATGGGAGGGGGGGAACGTGGAGGGCAGGAGCGAGGAGGGTGATCGGGAGGCAGCAGTGTTGATTAGAACGAGGGAGAAGAAAAGGAAGAGAACAGAGAGATGCATTCAAGTTGCTGCCCCTCCACTCACAATCGTGCCACCCTGTGTGACGCCTGGGGGAGGAAGGGGGAGAGGACAAGACATACTGTTAGATGAAGGCAGGGCGAAGGAATAACTTCAATTCAACGAGAATACGTCCAGAACAGGACGGGAGAGATGAGGCACGTGGTAAGATGAAGGCGGGTGGGGGAACGGGGGATGAAGAAGGGAAGGTGAGTAGGGTCGGAAGGAGAACAAGGATAGCAGAGATGGGGGAAGGGAAGCAAGGGAAAGTGAAAGAAGAACGGGAAAGAAGAGCAACAGGGCTTTGACATTAGCAAAGAGAAAGGAACGACAGGAAGGGAGGGAAGGAATTTGTCGGGAAGGGAAGAAAAAGGGAAAGAGAGGCTCACGAGGTTGATGAGGTGATCGCACCCGTCGTGGGAGAGAAGGAGTGAAGGGAAGGGAACGGGCAGCAGGGAAAGAGAAAGGAGTAAAGTGGAGGGAAGAAGACGAAAGCGAGGCTCACGAGGTTGATGAGGTGGTCGCACTCGTCGTGAGAGAGAAAGCCCGAGTACAGGAAGGCCCTGCATGGACGGATGGCATTAGGAAGAAAGCATTGTAGGGCCGTTTTGAGATGTCTCAAAACACTTCTTTTTACACGTGAGAGAGAAAGCCCGAGAACAGGAAGGCCCTGCATGGACGGACGGCATTGGGAAGCATTGTAGGGCATCGTGGGCGGTCACGACATGGAATGTCAATACTAACAGCACGCAAAACACTTGCATGTTGCACTGCTGCATGGGTGTGGTGCTGCAGAGCACAAAATGGCGTGCAGTAGAACACTATGGCTGAAATGGAGGGGAAAGCGAATCCCAAGAGCGCAACCCCGAAGAGCAAACATGCTCTCACAGCACGTCCACATGCTCGATATCCCTTCCTCACTCCTCACACACCCATACGCTCTCCTCACTTTCCTTCCACTCTCATTCCCTTGATTTTCACCAATTCGCCCCTCGCCAACCCACCCTCGTAGCCTTCCCATCCTGCTCCCACCCATCCTCCGCTGTGTTCTCCTCGGCTCCCACGACAGGCGAGTAATGCGAGAGGGGTCAACGGGGACGCCTGGTCCTGCCTGCCTGCACCATCGTTGCCTTCACCCTTCTGCCCACATCCCGTCCTTCTCTCTGCTCACCTCGGCTCCCACGACAGGCGAGTAATGCGAGAGGGGTCAACGGGGACGCCTGGTCCTGCCTGCCTGCACCATCGTTGCCTTCACCCTTCTGCCCACATCCCGTCCTTCTCTCTGCTCTCCTCGGCTCCCACGACAGGCGAGTGATGCGAGAGGGGTCCATGAGGATGCCTGGTCCTGCCTGCCTGCACCCTCTTTGCCTCCCCACCCTGCTGTCCCCATCCCATCCTCCATCTCACCTCGGCTCCCACGACAAGCGAGTGATGCGAGAGGGATCACGGGGATGCCTGGTCCTGCCTGCCTGCACCCTCTTTGCCTCCCCACCCTGCTGGCCCCACCTATCCCATCCTCGCACCTCACCTCGGCTCCCACGAAAGGCGAGTGATGCGAGAGGGATCGATAGGGATGCCTGGTCCTACTTGCACGCTCGTCGCGTTCCCATCCTGCTGTTGCCCTTGCTGATGCTGGCTATTGTCAGAAGCAATGAGTCTGCTTGATATGGGATGATGCATGGGATGGCATGTCACATTGGGTGACGAGCGGGTGGTGTGAGTGAGGGTGGTGAGGAGTGGGAGGGAAAGGAATAAGGCGTGGGCAGAAACTGGCACGAGTTTGTAAATGGAGTATGACTGGGCGAGCTGTGATGAAACGTTTAAACTATAATAGCCTCTGCTCCCTCCCAACTCCTCATTCCCCTCCGCCCTCAACCCCCACAACATCATCCCCCACCACCTCATCCCCCCCTCAAACTCCACCTCCACATACCACCTCCCCCCCCCCCCACCACCCCCCCTGCCTCCCCATTCCCCCGCTTTCCCATTCCCCCCGCTTCATCCTCCCACCGCCTCATTTCCCCGCCTCGCCATTCCCACCACTCCCTCCCCATTCCCCCCCTCTCCATTTCCCCGCCACTCCATCCCCCGCATCCCCATCCCAACCATTCCCCGCTTCCACATCCCCCCGCTTCCCCATCTCCCCAGCGCTATTTCCCCCTGCCTTCCCATCCCCCCGCCGCCCCATCCCTCCCCTTTCCCATTCCGACGCCTCTCCACTCCACCCCCCGCATCCCCATCCCCCCGCCGCCCAACCTCCCGCCTTCCCCTCAGTGCGCAGCTCCTCCCGCCTCGCGCACTCGTCCATGGTTTCTAAACCAGCAGTTATTACGCCCCCTTCCTTCGGGCTAGAAGTTCTCGCCGCTTTAAGTGTCATGTCACGTGCTGCCGCGACTTACCGCTAACGCTACCATCGTTCGAAAAATTGCAGGGAGAAAAAGAGTGGTACCGTGCGGCCGCGACTTACCGCTAACGCTACCATGTAAGTGCTAGTCCTAAACAAAAGAAGAGCAAAGCAACACAACCAATGGTACCTCTTCTGGGAATTGAAAGCGGACTCGGCGACGGTCTGAGACACGGCGAGCGATAGCGCGAAGAGCAACGCGACAAGAACCACAATCGCCTGACAGTGCGAGTCTCGACGAGGCAATTTGCCTGACATGGCTGCTCGCTGAAACGTGGGGGGACTAGAACGGAGAAATGGTTACTTCGAATGCTACATCGAGGACCTTCCAGGTGAATAGTTCAGCTGAACATGCGGGCCGCACTGCGTTAGTCTGACAACTAATTCGTGGTTGCGGGTATCTTCGATATGCGACCATGCATCATTAAAAAGTTTCAGGGTGGGAGTACGCAAATGAAGAACTGGAAGATGCTGGGCGATTGAGCTTTCCAATATTCGATCATTGAACCAAACTCACATTCTATGAAGTTTCAAAATACCGGATCTGCTAGTAAGAGGTGATTTGTTTTCGGTCGGCTGACTTTTCTGGTGGGGCGGAGTGCACTAATTGGATGCTCCGCTCCACACTCGCGACAGCTAGCGACGCGCAACACTCCAGCAATCGCCTCCTGCGGCTCGGCTGCCTGCCTCCTTGCCAGCAATGCCGTGGGACATCAGGCCTTCAAACGAGCCTGTTCAAGCCTGTCACCGCACTAAACCACACTCTATGTTACCCGAAACTGTCGTACCGTGTTACTCATCCATACCATACTTTGTTCGCAGCCACATTGGCCCTCTTTCCAGCTTTGTTTGATCAGGCCACGCTCACCGCCACGGGCCAGTCGAACCATATAAACGGGCCTCTGCTTTCATTCCGCATCGCCATCCCACTTATCGGTCTGCTCGCGCTCTTCCACTCGTAATCACGGAACTAAATCCTCCTGTTAAAACCAGCTGCGCATACATACGCGCCCTGTGCTCAGCTGCTCCACGAATTCCCGCGCAAATCCCGAGAGTACTTGAGAAATTTCAAAAGGGCTTTTACAGAATCCGTACTGGAGTTGTGGCTTCCCCGCCACTCGTGGTTACTACGAGTCGCAATTAATCGACTCAATAAAGCAACGCGCAGCTAAGACGGAAAAGATCTCAGATTCTTCCTTTTGTCGCCATATCAGCTGACGCCCCGTCCCGCGATATATCGCTCTTTAAAGGCCGAAATGACTGGCCATACGGTTGGACACTGTAGCAGAAGCACGAACACGAATGTTACACTTCTTCTCGTGCTGCTGTCCTGCACGTTCGCGATACAAGCGGCGCCGTTAAGAGGCCGGCGCGGAATGACGGGGGAGCTGCAGCAAGAGCAGGAGTACATCGAAATGCCGCAAGACGACGACAACGCGGCGCGCGCCAACGAGCTGCCTTCTTTTGAACGCTCCATGGAGCTATATCGCGTATGATCGATCCCCTCATCCTTGCCGTCGAATTCATTAGACGACTCTCCGCGTCGTCGGCAACATCAATGACTAGCCGCGAATCAGACTCTCAAGAGTCCTCTGATTCGGTAAACGAAATTTGATAGACAACTTACAAGAGTCGTCTGATTTGGCACGTCCCTTGCCCTCCCCTCCCCCGCCCCTCCACTTCTGTCCTCTGCCCCTTCCCTCCCCATCCCCTCCCCGTCCGCTCGCCACCGCCAGGCTTGGGAGCGGGTCTACGGCCTCGTGGACCCTGCGCAGCCGCCCGCACGTATCGCCCTGCCGCCCAACGTGCCGCGCGCGCCGCACCTGGAGGACTGCTCGTCGCGCAGCGCATTCCGCCAGCAGACGGAGGCGCGCGGGGCGCGCGGGGAAGCGCCCGCGTGGACCAGCGCGCCGAGCGGGTGCCGCTACCCGCAACCGCCTTGGGTGCGCGGATCGGACGCCGCCAATCTCGCCGCCACGCGCCAGGCGCAGGCCGACATCTGGCTGCACCAGTTCCCCGCGCCCGCATCCGCGCAAGCCGCCACTGGCAGGGGAACCTGCGGCGGGCGGCGGTTGCTGGTGGTGCCGTGGCCGAGCCGCAGAAACGGCATCGGGTCGCAGATTCACATCATGAGCGCGTGGCTGAATCACGCCCTGTCGCACGACCGCATTCTCGTCCCCACGCCCGGATCATTCGAGCGCGCCAACCACTCCCACTGCACTGGTAAGGACGGGGCTGCATGAGACTCACAGCCGATGAGTCATGAGCGCGTGGCTGAACCACGCCTTGTCACACGACCGCATTCTCGTCCCCACGCATGGATCCTTCGCACGCGCCAATTACTCTCATTGCACTGGTACGATCTTTGAGACGTCACAACACTCGCACATCCACGCCATGGAGCGCTTGGCTGAACCACGCCCTGTCGCACGACCGCATTCTCGTCCCCACACCCAGGTCGTTAGCGCGCGCCAACCTCTCCCATGGCGCTGGTACGTTTCTCGAAAGCGCCCTGCATCATACAGTCACGCGCATTTTCATACGTCCTTGCTCCGTGTGTCCCTCACTTGTTCCCGCTCGTCTCCCGCTCCTGCGACGTGACTCACCACAACAACCCTTGTGTGCTCTTTGCCCTCCCCAACCCTCCCCATCTCCTCCCAGGCGCGGACAAGGGTTCCTTCTCCTGCTACTTCTTCTCCCTCGTCTCCCCCGGCTGCGACGTGACTCACCACAACAACCCTTGTGTGCTCTTTGCTCTCGCCAACTCGCCTCCCTCCCCATCCCTCCCCAACCCTCCCCATCTCCTCCCAGGCGCGGACAAGGGCTCCTTCTCCTGCTACTTCTTCCCCCTCGTCTCCCCCTCGTGCGACGAAGCAGCACTCGAAGCCATAGCAGCCGTCGCAGCAGCAGGGCCAGCAGAAAAGGGCGGGGCGCAGAGGGTGGTGATGGGGGGAGGGGTGAGCGTGCTGGCCACGAGTCCCACGGGAATGGGCGCGGAGGAGATGGCGGCGGTAATGGCGTCCGACGCGCAGATTCTGCTGTTCACTGAGTCGACCTTTCCGCCCCATTCCACCGCACTAGCTGCTAGGTAAGCGGGGTGTTGAGAGAGGTGGTGATGGGTGAGCGTGCTGGCGACGAGTCCCACGGGGATGGGCGCGGAGGAGATGGCGGCGATAATGGCGTCCGACGCGCAGATTCTCGTGTTCACTGAGTCAACTTTCCCTCCGCATTCCACAGCGCTAGCTGCCAGGTGAGAGAGAAGGTGTGTAATGGAGGCGAAAGGGAAGGTGGATGGGAGGTGCGGGAGGTGGTGATGGGGGAGGGGTGAGCGTGCTGGCGACGAGTCTCACGGGCATGGGCGCGGAGGAAATGGCAGCTATAATGGCGTCCGATGCGCGCATTCTGCTCTTCACTGAGTCGACCTTTCCGCCCCATTCCACCGCGCTTGCTGCTAGGTGAGAGGCGGGTTGAGAGATGTGGTGATGGGGGAAGGGGTGTGCTGGCGACGAGTCCCACGGGCATGGGCGCAGAGGAAATGGCGGTGGTACTGGCGTCCGATGCGCGCATTCTCCTCTTTACTGAATCGGCTTTCCCTCCGCATGCCACAGCGCTTGCTGCTAGGTGAGAGACACGGTGCATTGGAGGGGAGTGGGAGGGTGGATGGGAGGTGGAGAAGATGAAGGAGTGGGAAGGGGTGAGCGTGCTGGCGACGAGTCCCACGGGCATGGGCGCGGAGGAGATGGCGGCAGTACTGGCGTCCGACGCGCAGATTCTCGTGTTTACCGAGTCAACGTTCCCCCCGCACGGCACGGCACAAGCAGCGAGGTGAGCGTGCTGGCGACCAGTCCCACGGGCATGGGCGCGGAGGAGATGGCGGCGGTAATGGCGTCCGACGCGCGCGTTCTGCTCTTTACTGAGTCGACTTTCCCTCCGCATGCCACAGCGCTTGCTGCTAGGTGAGAGAGAGGGTTTAATGGAGGGGAGAGGCAGGGCGGGGTGCAGAGGGTGGTGATGGGGGGAGGGGTGAGCGTGGGGGGGAGGGGTGAGCGTGCTGGCGACGAGTCTCACGGGCATGGGCGTAGAAGACATGGCGGCTGTATTGGCGTCTGACGCGCACATTCTGCTCTTCACTGAGTCTACTTTCCCTCCGCATGCCACGGCGCTAGCTGCCAGGTGAGACTCTTGAGGCACCTTGATAGGTGTCAATGATGGCAGTGCAGGCGGCGCTAATGGCGTCCGACGCGCGCGTTCTGCTCTTTACCGAGTCGACCTCTCCTCCGCATGCCGCGGCGCTAGCTGCCAGGTGAGACTCTTGCAGCAACAGGCATCTGACAAGCGCACGCTCATTCTGGTGCTCACTCTTCCGAGCTGGCTTCCCAACTTTTGAGTTGACTCAAAACTGACTTTTGAGTCGACTCAAAAATCGACTCTTGAAGCAACAGGCATCTGACAAGCGCACGCTCATTCTGGTGCTCACTCATCAGAGCTGACTTCCCAACTGCATGCCACGGCGCATGCTGCCAGATGGGAGTGGGTGGCTTCTAAGGCGCCTCAGACACTGAGAGAGATGGGTGGATGGGTCGTTGGGAAGGGAGTGTGAGGATGAGTGTGTAGCAGAGGGACAGTGGGCACTCACTCTCTGTCTTCTCACCCCCTCCTCCATCCCCCCGCCTTCCTCCCCCTGTAACCTCCCTTTCACCGGGCAGTGGGAAACAGCATACCTGGAGAGCAAGGGGGGCACGGAGATGATGGGGAGGCTTAATTTATTCTCTCACCCCCTCTCCTCCCACTGCTTTTTACCTCCTCCCCTTCCCATCTCCCTCACACCAGGCGGTGGGGCACAGCATATCTGGAGAGCAGGGGAGACTCAGAGGTGATGGGGAGGAGAGCTCTAACCCTCTCATCTGTGCCCATTCCAAACCCCCCTCCCATCTCCCTCCCACCAGGCGATGGGGCACAGCATATCTGGAGAGCAGGGGGGACACGGAGGTGATGGGGCGGGTGCGCGCGGGGAGCCCTCCATACCTGCAGGTGCACTGGTGGCTCTCTCACCTGTGCCCATTCCACTCCCTTCTCCCCCATTTCCCTCACACCAGGCGGTGGGGTACAGCATACTTGGAGAGCAGGGGGACGCGGAGGTGATGGGGAGAGGCGTTCTAACCCTCTCACCTGCGCCCATTCCAAACTCCCCTCCTAACTCCCTCACAACAGGCGGTGGGGCACAGCATATCTGGAGAGCAGGGGGGACACGGAGGTGATGGGGAAGGTGCGTGCGGAGAACCCTCCGTACCTGCAGGTGCACTGGTGGCGCGCGCAGTCCTTCCGCTTCATGCTGCGCTGGCCCTCCGCCTATCTCTGCCACCTCACCAACCGCGCCCGCCACGAGGCCTACGGCCTGCCTGTCTCCACCCGCCTCGTCACCTCCCTCTTGCAGCAGCAAAACATCATCGCCTCCCTCTCCTCCTCTTCCTCCTCCTCAGCTTCACCCTCCCTCCAAGACTCCCCCAACCCGGATAATCTCAAGATCAACGCATCATCTGAAGCAGCCGTGCTAGCAGCTCTCTCTTTCTCCCCGCAGACCTCTCTTGAAACCAGGGCCTGGCCGGCTCTAGGCTTCGACGGATGCTCCTCCGAAACCCACGTCTCTCCGGAAACCGCCCGTCAACTCGACCTCACTCCTTCCTCCTCCTCGCCCTCCTCCTCCTCTCCCCCTCTCACTTTCACGCCGCAAGGGATTGTGGATTCGGTGTATGAGGGGGTGGGCGGGGAGGTGTACATGCCGCGGCCGGTGGTGAGCGTGCATGTGAGGCAGGGCGACAAGGCAATCGAGATGGAGCTCTCCTCCTTCGCCTCCTACATGTTCCTCGCTCACCGCCTCCGCTCCCACACGCCGGATCTGCAGTACGCGTGGCTTAGCACTGAGATGGAGGTGAGCTACTGGGCGGGTTGGGTATGAGGCAGAATGAGAGGTGGGGAGGGAAGTGGAAGAGGCAGATAGGGTGGAGAGAAGGTGGGGATTAGGGGGGTCTGCAATGCGCGTGGCTCAGCACCGAGATGGAGGTGAGTAAGCGAGCAGGTTGGAATGAAGGGTGGCCAATGAGAGGCGGTGAGGGTGAGCAGGTTGGAATGAAGGGGGGCGGTTTGTGGGGCGTGTGAGTGGCAGCACAGAGACGGAGGTGAGACGGTCTGGATGGAATGAGGGGTGGTTGTGGGTGTGAGATTGGAAAGGAGACATGGGTTGACTGTTGAGGGATAAAGAAGGAGAAGAGAGGGAAAGTGGGTGAGATGGGAGCAAAGAATGAGTGTGTAGAGCTTGCTTGAATTGGTCTCATTCACTCCAACCCTCTCTCCCTTCACCGCTCCTCCCCCAATCCCACAATCGAACTGTTTTTTTTCTCGTCTACAGTCGGTTGTTCAACAGTCTCGAGCATACAAGGACTGGACCTTCTTCTACACTCGCAACAAGAGGCAGACAGGCGCAACAGCCATGGTGGCTTATGAGCAGGACGCGGGTGTAGAGCTACTGGTGGGGGTGAGCTTTGCCAACCTCATTATAGCGTCGGAGTGCGATTATTTCATTGGTCCCCTCAAGTCCAACTGGAACAGGCTAATCAATGGCCTGAGAATGACGAATGGACGCATGAATAGGGGATATGCAGCTCTCAATTTCGGCGGGTGGTAGGTTAGTAGTCGCAAGATACAGTGAGCAGCCCCTCAATTTAAATAAATTGTTCCTGCACGTAGTACAGCAGTACCGTACAGTACATTCACGTGCTGGATCATACTTACCATAATACGGCACTAAAAGCCCTCTTTATCCTGCTTGTTTACTTTTGCTAGCCTGGATATCCAGCCAAGTTTCCAGCAAAAATTTGCAAATATAATTTAGACAGCCTGCTTTATAAAATGGTAACATTATGGTACATACATTATAGCACGACGCTTTCTTTAGGGGGTTTAGGGAATTTATGAAAGCCTAAATTAAAGGGTTTTCTCACAGACTCTTTCAGATCTGAAAATTTTGCAAACTCCTATCAACAGTTCAAGGCAAATCAAATATAGTTAGGTGTCTCAGTAAGTGAAAACAGCGGAATGAGTAGGATTGATTGGGTTGGGGTACATATGCCTAACCCTAACTGCTTGTACCCCATATAGCATGACCCACAACAGGGTATAACATTTGACACACCCCCATAGCCTAAGTGGGGAATGCCAAGCAACAAGAAACGCAACCTAAGGTCACAAGACCAGTCACAAACAAAAGACAAAACAAAGCTCAGGGTGGATCACAACGTCACCACACAGTCCGAGCACAAGCAAATGGCCACAAGGCTAGTTCAAGAGTGTATATGGAGATATATACTGTACAAGCAAAGACAAGAGACAAGCACTCACTACTGCAGTCTACTCGACCCAGTCTCAACGAGGCCCAACTGCAGACAGAACCGGCGGTGGTCACAAGGCTGAAGAGCCTTGGTGAAGATGTCTGCAGTGTTGGCCTCGGAGGCCACGAAGTCCAGACGAGCCTGCCCGCGTCTCTGCAACTCTCGAAGGAGGAAGTACCTGACGTCGATGTGCTTCACTCTGCTCTCCAGTCGAGGCTCACGACACAGGAGAATCATCGCCCTGTTGTCAGCAAACAGGGTCGGTGCAGAGCTCGGCCGCTCACCAAGGTCTGTCAGAATCCCAGCCACTAACCACTGGGATAAAAGGGCTTGTTTAAGTAGCGGGTGAGTGCGCCCATAACCCCCCAGGCCGACGTGCCTGTAACCCTTCCCTAGGATCATCGGGGATCTCCAGTGGACCTCTGACACCCCCCCGCACTGGGATGCCCGAAGTGCACACACCGGGAATCGAACCCGAGACCTTCGCTCTGATACCATGTCAGAATCCCAGTCACTAACCACTGGGATAAAAGGGCTTGTTTGTGTAGCGGGTGAGTGCGCCCATAACCCCCTAGGCCCCAGCGTAGATCTCGGCCTCTGCGGTAGAAGTCGCAACCGAGGAGGACCGAGTAGACCTCCACGAAACAGCTCCAGAACCCAGGCTGAAACAGTAACCCTGCGTAGACCTCTGAGTCTCAACGTCGTCGGCGTAGGAGGAGTCGCAGTGACCGGTGAGTACAACTGGCTGTGTCCCTCCAAGTACAAGCCCCATGCCTGATGTCGCGCCAAGGTACTTCGCCACCCTCTTAGCCGCCGCCCAGTGAACAGGACGGTGTCTCCCAGTCGCAACAAAGCGAGACAGGATGCTAAGAGGGAAGGCGAGGTCCGGGCGAGTGCACGTCATCAGGTACATGAGGCAGCCCACCAGCTCTGCGTAGGGACCACTGGGCTCGAACGGCTCGTCAGGAAAAGGCCCAGTGAGTCTGTGGTCTACAGCAAGAGGAGTGGGTGTAGGAGAGGAGTGCTGAAGCCCGAACCGCTGAAGGACCTGCTGCACCATGTGTGACTGAGTCAGAGTGATGGTGCGAGCGGCTCTGTCCCTGGAGATCTGCAGGCCAAGGTAGCGGCGCAGTTCCCCAAGGTCAGTGCAGGTGTGTCTCTTCTGCAGTTCGGACTTCACCTCCGCCAGTGCAGCTGTGTCGGCTGTGGCAAAAACCAAGTCGTCAACGTAGACCAGAACGAAGAAAGGTGTGCGCCCACGACGAACAAACAACGACGGGTCGGCGGAAGACGGCTCAAACCCGAGGTCGGAGAGAGTAGAGCGGAGAGTGTCGTGCCACTCACGGGGTGCCTGGCAGAGACCGTAGACCGGTCGTCTGAGGCTCCACTGGGTCCCAGGCGGGAAAGTGCCAGTGAAGCCCGGAGGACGACGCAGCCAGATCTCCTCGTGTAGGCGGCCCTGGAGGAAGGCAGTGGAGAAGTCAAGAGAGTATAGCTGGTAGTCTCTCTGCGCTGCTACGTGCAGTAACACCCGAAGAGTGGTCATCTTCGGGGTGGGCGCGAAGGTCTGAAAGAAGTCAACTCCCTCACGCTGACTGAACCCTCTAGCCACGTAGCGTGCCTTGAAGACTGGAGGAGATCCCGGCGGCCGCTTCACCTTGAAGATCCACATGCCGTCAACGATGTTCGCCCCTGGGGGGGGAACCTCGTCAACGTAAGTGCCTGTGGACCTGTAGGAGGCCATCTCTGCGTCCATGGCAGCTCTCCACTGAGAGGCCCAAGGTCCTGACACTGCTTTTGCGTAAGTGCGAGGAGTAGGTATGTCAGGAGCGTCGGGGTCTCCCTCAGGAGTGAGCAGCATGGCACAGAGATGAGGCGAAGCAGCTGCCAGGAACTCTAGCTCAAACTGTCTGTACAGCCAAGGGCAGACTCACCCCTGGCGGACAGAGGACGGACAGGAGGAGCGGCCACAACACGAGTGGCGTAGTCAAGGCGACGCGTAGCAGTAAAGTCAGTGACAGCGGCAGTGAGGACCGCGACGGAGGAAGGGGAGGCACGAGGGTCTGTAACAAGAGAGGCGAGAACACGAGAGAGAGTGGGGCGGTACGTGCGGTAGTAGTCAGTGACCGGAGTGGACAGGGAGGCAGTGAGGGAAGACTCAGGAGGACGAGGAAGGACAGACGGAGGAGAACGAGGAGGACTAGGACGAAACAACACGGTACGGAGGTCAGTGACAGGGGACGAGGGACGAGCACGAGGAGGACAGGAGGCCCAAGTGTGGGCGAGAGGAGGGGGGGACGGAGGAGACAGAGAACGAGGGAAGACAGCCGGAGTGGAGTCCGGAGGAGGAAACGTAGGACCGAACACAGGAGGAGAGGAGGGGAGACCAAGGGCCCGAAGGCCAGAAACAGGGGGCGGAGGCTGCTGCGGCTGCTGCTGCTGCTGCTGCTGCTGCTGCTGCTGCTGCTGCTGCTGCTGCTGCTGCTGCTGCTGCTGCTGCTGCTGCTGCTGCTGCTGCTGCTGCTGCTGCTGCTGCTGCTGCTGCTGCTGCTGCTGCTGCTGCTGCTGCTGCTGCTGCTGCTGCTGCTGCTGCTGCTGCTGCTGCTGCTGCTGCTGCTGCTGCTGCTGCTGCTGCTGCTGCTGCTGCTGCTGCTGCTGCTGCTGCTGCTGCTGCTGCTGCTGCTGCTGCTGCTGCTGCTGCTGCTGCTGCTGCTGCTGCTGCTGCTGCTGCTGCTGCTGCTGCTCCCACTGCAACTCCAACCTCTCACTCTCCACCCGCTGCTGAAGCTCCAACCTCTCACGCTCCAAACGCTGCTGCTCCTCACGCTCAAGACGAAGACGGGCCTGGTGGCGAGTCGGGTAAGGGTGAGGAGGAGGAGTAGCGTGAGGAGACGACGAAGAAGAACCTGCTCCGCCCTCGACAGCACCCGGCTGAGCACCCCCAGAGCGAGTACCCCCCGCGGCAGCACGACCTGCACCTGCAGGAGGTGTACCCGCACCCCCAGCCGTGGTGCCCCCAGTAGCACCAGCACCAGCCCCAGACTCTCCAGCTCCAGAAACACCACCAGCTCCAGCACCACCACCAGCTCCAGTACCCTCGGAACGGGCAGCTGCGGCAGGTGCACGCTCAGCGCCAGTGCCAGCACCCCCAGAACTGGCCGCTCCTGTAGGTGCACGAACAGCTCCAACGCCAGCACCCCCAGAGCGAGCACCGCCAGAGCCCTCACCTCGAGCACCAACACCCTCAGAGTCCGCAGTGGCCGGTGAAGGAAGCGCCGACGGCTGCTGCGGAGGCGGTGAGGACGACTGTGGGGAAGGAGGAGAGACCTGGGGGGGTACCGAGGGAGGGGGAGTAGCGTGAGACACACCAGACGGAGCGGGAACAGGGGGGGGTACCGGAGGAGCAGGGGCGGGAGGAGGAGGAGCTGGAGAAATGAAGAGGGGAGGGGGAAGGGAACAGGGAGACCTCGAGAGGGGTACCTGACGTAGTAGGGGACGGACTCGTCGAAACGGACGTCACGAGAGTCAAAGAACCGGTGGGAGGGTGGGTGGTAAAAGGTGAAGTCAGAGGAGCCCTCTGGGAAACCAAGGAAGACACAGGGGATGGCGCGAGGAGAGATCTTGTCCGCAGAGGTGTTGCGGACAAGAGCCAAGCAGCCCCAGACACTAAACCTCGACGCAACACCAGGGGACCCTGTCCAAAGACTGGTCGGTGAAGCCCCTGGCCGAGAGACGCGAGGCCAGAGGTTCAGCTGGTGAGCGGCGTACCGAGCCGCGTAGGGCCACAGAAAATGGGGGGCGTGGGCGTGGATCATGGAGGTGCTGGCGATCTCCATGACCAGGCCTAAGCGGCGCTCAGCAACCCCATTCTGCTGTGGAGAGTCTGGAAGAGTCCAGGACTGGGTGATGCCCTGCTCAGCACAGAATCTGGCGAGAATGCCGGAGCGAAACTCACCCCCACGGTCGGAGTGGAGACAACTGACACGACGACCACGAGTGCCCTCGGTGGCGAGGAGCCACCGGATCAGCGTAGAAGTCACGTCGGACTTCTTCGCCAAAGGGAACACGGTGGTGTACCGAGAGTAATCGTCAACGACCACCAGAAAGAAACTCTCCCGCTCAGGGCCAAGGCGGGAGGCGGGGCCCCAGACGTCTAAGTGGAGTGTCTGGAAGGGCTCGGTGGCCGGACGAAGGGAGGAGGAGTGAGGGGTGGCGCGAAGCCGACCCTGGACACAAGGACCGCACGGAGGAGCTGGGGACGGCGGGAGTGGCGGGAGGACTCGGGGGAGGCCTAAGACAAGACGCTGACTGGACATGGCGCGCAGACGAGGAAGGGACGGGTGCCCCATCCGGTGGTGCCACAGAACGGTGGGGTGGGCAAGCGACCGACACGAGCACGACGCAGCAACTACACCTGACACAGCAACCTGACTGGACCCGGCTACCTGGTGGGACGGGGGAACCTGACGGGGGTCGGTGCGGAGGGTGTACAGACCAGAGCCCGGCTCCTGGCGGAAAGTGGCCAAGGGGGCGTACGTGTCACCGTCGACGCAGACTGCGGTGTCACCAGAAGGCTCAACCCAGACACCGACGTGCTGTCTTGTCAAGGTGCCCACACCAACCAGGTTCCTAGAGAACGTAGGAACGTGGAGGCCGGTCAGGGAACCAGAAGGAGCAGCTGGGCACGGGAGAGTAGTGGCGTGAGTCGCAATGACCGGTCCCGAGGAGGGATCGGCCAGTGCTACAGGGACAGGCGCCGGTAGCGGAGAGAGAGTCGTGCAGTCGCGGAAGAAGCAGTGCGACGCTCCCGAGTCCAGTGTGAAGGAGAGAGACGCGTCCGCCGAGGGAGTACCTGTACTAGTAGCTAAGCAAGATCCTACACTAGCACCTACTCTAGCAACAGGCAAAGATCCTAAGCTAGGTACAGGCAAGTACACAGATCCAGGAGCACTATAGTCAACATCAGCATACATGGCATAGGACCTAGCATCATCCATAGCCATATCAAAAACAGCAATACCATGAGCAAGAAGCGTCCCCCAGCGTGGCGGCGGGGGAGCGGAGGGGCCGTGGTGCAAGCAATAGAGGTCGTCGAGACGACTGAAGCAGCGTGCAGCAGAGTGGTCGGGGCGGCCACAGTACGTGTCCCTACGAGGACCCGTAAGGATCCAGTACTCACAGGGACCAACGTCGCGGCCGGCCGCGCGAGGTCCCCGACTGGAGGGGGCGCCACCGCGCCCAGTGCTCGGGGGACCCGCAGACCTCCACTGCTGCGGAGGGCCCCACTGCTGCGGAGGGCCCCACTGCTGAGGCTGCTGCTGCGGTAGGCGCTGCTGCTGGCCCTGTCGCTGCTGCTGCTGCTGTCCCTGCCGCTGCTGCTGTCCAGGCGGTGGCAGCTGCTGAGGAGTCGGCTGCTGCTGCTGCTGGAACCCCTCACCACCAGTGAAAACTCCACCGTCGAAAGGAGGGCCGTCAGGTCCCGAGCCACCCCCACCACCACTCCCACCACCTGCTCCACCGCCACCGCCACTACCCGCACCACCTCCAGTACCCCCGCCGCCCTTCCCGCCCTTCTTGCCGGCCTTGCCACGTTTCTGTCCGCCAGAGACAGAAACAGCCGCCGTCTCCTCAGAGGCAGAAGACGTGGGAGTGGCAAGGGAGGCAGAGAAGGTGGGAAGCTGTGGTACCGCACACCCCTCAAAAAGACGAGGAGGAGGCGCGGAAGAGGCAGAGGCAACGGTGAGGAGGTTACTCTCGATCTTCGAGAGAGCGGTCTCAAGAAGATCGATTGTAAGCTCAGTGGGGTGCTTCAGAAGAAGCGCGTCGCGGGCTGTGGCTAGGCGGTCAGGGAGGCGAGTGACTAGCCAGTGAATAGTGAGCCACATAGGGGGCGGGGCAAGGGCAAGCTGGTCCTTCGTGCAAGCAGCGCGAAAGCGAGCGTCAAGGGAGCGCAGGTGAGTAGCGAGGTCAGAGACAGTCTCAAAGGAGGCGAGGTCAGGGTAGATAAAGGGTACGAGGAGGCGACTGAGCGACGCAGAGGAGGGAGTAGAGTAGCGAGCAACAATAGCCTTATACAGATCTGCAGCAGACTCGACCTGAGCGAAGTGGACTGCCTCTGTCGGCGGGAGAAGGTCGGTCAGGGCGAGGCAGGCAGCGGCGTCACGAGACTCCCACACGTCGCGAGCGAGGAGCTGGCGCTGGTACTCGGCCTCCTGCTCAGGAGTAGGCGGTGGGGTAGTGGGCAGCGGGCTAGGCTGCTGGGGAGCGGTCTGAGTACCGGATGCGTGTGCGAACAAGTGCACGCCATCCTGCCGCTGGCTCTTAAGGTGGCGCTGCGCCTGCGTAAGCCACGTGCTAAAATCTATAGGTCGCCCTTCAGGGTCGAAACGAAGTACTCGGGAGGTCGCCATAGAGGCCGCGACTGAGAGAGCGCGGTTGCCAGCCGCGGGAGGGGGGGGACAGTCAGTAGCGAGGATGTAAGCTTGCAGGCGTGCAGGCGAGGAGGAGGCGTAGCATGTGGACAGGAGGGCTGCTCAGCTAGTGGACTGGAGGGCGGCGCGGCGTGCAGGCCTACGGGCTGGACGGCGGGTCGACGGACGGGCCTGCAGGCGGCGCGACGCGCAGGCCTACGGGCGACGCGACGCGCGGGCCTGCGGGCTGGACGGCGGGTCGACCGGGCGGGCCTGCAGGCGGCGCGACGCGCAGGCCTACGAGCGACGCGACGCGCGGGCCTGCGGGCTGGACGGCGGGTCGACGGGCGGGCCTGCAGGCGGCGCGACGAGCAAGCCTACGGGCGACGCGACGCGCGGGCCTGCGGGCTGGACGGCGGGGCGACGGGCAGGCCTACGGGAGGCGCGACGCGCGGGCCTACGGGCGACGCGACGCGCGGGCCTGCGGGCTGGACGGCGGGGCGACGGGCAGGCCTACGGGAGGCGCGACGCGCGGGCCTACGGGCGACGCGACGCGCGGGCCTGCGGGCTGGACGGCGGGGCGACGGGCAGGCCTACGGGAGGCGCGAGCGACGGGCAGGCCTACGGGACGGTACGCTGGCGAGGGCGTTGTCGTGGCGCAGGCTAAAGCGTTTTAGGTCAAGTGTCGATCCTAGGAGGCGACCTAAGTCTAGGAACGGCGCCAATTAGGTGAGGCCTAGGAACGGCGAACCTACTGCTGATACCATCTCAGTAAGTGAAAACAGCGGAATGAGTAGGATTGATTGGGTTGGGGTACATATGCCTAACCCTAACTGCTTGTACCCCATATAGCATGACCCACAACAGGGTATAACATTAGACAAGGTGCTGTTCTACGATCTACTCACACTTGTCACAAAAACGAGACCAATCTGGCTTTCACGAGACCTACGGTGAGTGCCTATAATGTAGGGTACCACATGCGGATACGAAACAGAACCTGCAGTATGGCAGCAACACCTAACTAACCATGGCGCTCAAGACTGCATAGTGTCCTTCTTAGCGTTGTACTGGTCAAGCTCTGCATCAAGCTCCTCTTGGGTCTTGGGAGCCTCTGACTTCCTGCCTCTGCCTCTCCCCCTGCCCCGCCCCCGAGCACCTCCTCTTCCACCTCGGCCTCGTCCACCAAACCCACCACCCCTGGTAAACAAGCAAGAAGGGAAACACGAGAAGCGTCAGCCCAATCTAAAACCGAAACAAGAGAATTTAGAAGAGACATGTAATGTTGCGCAAAGCTTACCCTGCGGGAAAGCCAAACGGCGCGACAATGGCTGGTGCAACTGCCACCCTCGCGACAGGAGGAACAGCAGGAGCAACGGTGGAACCGATGAGCTCAATCTTCATAGGTTTCCCGTCCAACTGAACGTTGTTGTACCGGGTCATGGCTGCCAAGGCATCTGCTTTCCGTGCGAACACAACTTCCGCTGTGCCCTGTAAGGTTAATATATAGAACAAGGATGTCAGCACTAATAACGGTAAGAACAGAATAATATTACAAGGGGTTAAAAAAAAAGCATGTGCTTACCTTAGATCGCCCACTTCTGTCATAGTGAACCGAGAAGCGCTTGAGCTCTCCAATTTCCGAAAAGAGTTCCTGCAACAAAAGACAGTGAATTTGGATTCAGCCGTTACATCGTAGACAGGAAAAAGACATAACAACTTAAATGAAGCCTCAATTCGCACCTTAACGTCGTCGTTCGACACGCCGTAGTCCAGATTCGACACATACAGCTTTGTCCCTGTCTCGATGCCTTGTCCTGCGGCACGTCCGGCTACCGGAACAGCAACTGCGCCAGCATCGTACATGTCGTGTCGCCAGGCACCGTCAGTTACCATGGTAGCAGGCTGGCGAAAACAACAAGACAACAAAATCGTGTGAACAAGAGCTCGTGCCGAGCTGTGAATGCATGTGCCTGTTCCGAACCGACGAAACTATTGCTCCGAACCGACGAACTATTGCTACATACTCCACGTGCACAGCTTTAAGATATCAACAGTGTAATTAAGAAAAATGATGTGGTTAGTTGTCACCAACATGTCAGCCCGCCACGATGGTTCGAGGTAAAACAGGAGCCACGTCAGGCGTTCCCGAGAACCAGGAGCTGAGCGACAGAGAGTTGGACGATTCCACGACAACCGAACCGACCCCACCAAACGGCTCTCCGTAAGCCGCTCATCGTGGAATAATTACACCCCTTGAACGGCATCGACGAATTCTAACAATCTCCGGGACGATTCTTCCCAACGAGGACGAGAGATGCAGCGGAGAGAAATCCTTGAAGAATAAGGTGTTGTGAAAAGCCTTCCTGGATCTCAAGAGAGAAACCAGGTGTGGGATTTGGATGGCGAGATAGAAGATCCGCTTGCCTGGCCATATGGTGTTGATCGAAATCCGCCTCGTCCAGATCTGCGAACAGGACCATAGCCCCTACCAGATCCGGATCCGCGTCCCCCTCGGCTGCCGCCGCGACCAGACGACTTCTTAGACTTGATGATATCGTCGAGGGACTGATCAAGCTCGGAAGCCATGATGACGGAACTGTAAGCGGCACACGTGAAGATATGGCACGCGAAAAATCACGAATCTCCACCGATGGAGATGGCAAGTAGAAGCGGAAGCAGATGCAGGCGACGAACCAGGCACAACGGCTACAATTCTCGGATCTGGAAAGTTAGGAAAAGAAAACCTGGATGCAAAGCAGCAGCTTTGAAAGCTAGGCTTGCAAAGTCGGTAAACAGGGATGTCGTTGCTTGGAAGATGTGAAGTGAGGTGAGTGTCCTCGTGGCGTGCGTGGCGTACTTATGTCACCAAACCCTCGTTTTCCCGCGGGAGAAGATCAACGAGGGGCCGAACAGTGGCAGAGGGGTGATCAACCAGGGGCCGAAAGGCTCGGAACTTACCAGACCGCTGCTAGAGGAGTTTTTAACAGAGAGTCTTTGTTTATTGCGCAAATTTATGTCAATAGTGGCGTGTACCGGCTCGCATTTTTGCCCTCGTGTCGTTTAGCGGGCCGACTCCACTGGGAACAATTAGGGCAGCCAAAATAACTAAGGGTACGTTCCTGGCGCGTGTCAAGCTTCCGGTCATCCGCGGATGACCGGAAGTTAGACCCACTTTGGGTCATCCGAGACCAACTTCGGGTCTTCCGGCCAAAAATTGCCCCTGTTTCCGGAAAACACAAAGTTTGACAGGAAGTTTAACCCAAAGCTTCGGGTCTTCCCGGAAAGGCCTGAAGCTTGACACCAGCCAGGAACGCACCATAAAACTCATAGAGAACGTGGATGCATTTTTGGGATGGATCAACCCTAAAAACGAAAAACTTCCTGGTATTTAGGGTTGATGCCTCTCGAGTCGCATCCGTTTCCGAGTGGGTAATATATTTTTTTTCTTGTGCGTTTACTATCGGGTAGGTGATATGTATCCCCCAGAATATAATATGTAGCGCCCGGTAGCGCTACTGACTGAGTCAGCACGCTGCCCGCGGGCAAAACAAAATAAACCCCATGGCTTACGGCATGCCATTCGGGAGCCTCAACCCTAAAATTTTAGGGTTGAGGCTCCCTCGGATGGCATGCCGCCGACTGGGGTTTATTTTTTTTTCTTGCCCGCGCTGACTCATTGCACTGCCTGCTTTCGCAGGCAGTGCAAGATATATTCCAGAATATAATATGTTATACGTACTCACGATCTACCAGAAGAAGGCGACGCGCGCGTTGTAGTAGACGGAGGTCTAAACCAGAACAAAATAAGATGAATATAATTGTTGGTTCTTCTTGCAAATCTCTTTTACTCACGGTTCGGCGTAATCGCCTAGTCGTTTAGGCAGCTCTGGGTCGAAATCCTACGGTCGAGATTTACCGGCCCTACTTTGATCACCCTTCTGGCACTGTTCGGCCCCTGGTTGATCTTTTCCCTTTTCCCGCTGTGTGAAGTCAGAATATCGACGGACCTCCGTCGATAATCAGCCAACAAGCAAGTCGAATCGACGGTTGCCAGTGAGCTGAGAATACCCCCTAGTGACGGTGCCGCTGGGAAAAAAGGTGATTGTAAGAATTACTGTTTACAGGATCTATATAAAGGCAGCTCTTTCCCTTTTTGTAAGACAAACAGTCACCTTTTGCAGCATTTTCTGATATGACGCACATGTACACTCTCCCGGCGACAGTATACACTTTCCAGGGAAATTTCGCATATAAAACTCAAACTCGAGCTACATTTCAAAGCATTTTGGACAGATATTATGCACAATATGAGGATATGGAAACTACATTTGCTGACTTTTGTTCAAGATCAACACAGCTTGATGCCTGTAAATTCCACCCCAAAGAACATAAAGAGTACGACGTGCCACTTTGCATTAAAAACAAAAATTATATAAAGAGCGAACCTGTGGAAAACAAACGCATTAAAGGCTGTTGAGGCAACGCGATTATGATATGAAAACAAATGCTTACCTCCATATGCAGAGAGTTTGTTTTATCATATTGCTGTTTGCCTTCCCTTGCAATGTGTTCAAACACCGCATCCACATCTATACCTGTTTTGGCTGACTGCATATACGGTAGTAGCACAGCATCGGAGGGAGGCCGGGAGGAGGGAATTAACGGGGGGAAGTTGACCCATGACATCAAAGCAATGAGGCTTTCCAACCATCAGATCAAACAATGGAAATGCATACCTTGCACGAGACACGGCAAAATCACAAGAAATTCATCCTGATTTTTATGGGGAAATCAATCAGCATGCAGGCAGTAGATAAGCAGTAAAATCAAAAGACAAAAAGGTTCCACATTGATACCTATATTTAACATCTAACCAGTAGGCTAATGGAAATAGCAGACACGTACAGTCTCAAAGAAGTGTGCATCCAATTCATTGGCTAGTTGCTGCCCTTCTTCCTTGCTGATAGCCTTGCACACAGGAGAGGAGGTTGTAGAGGGGGGAGAGAGTGAGAGAGAGAGAGAGAGAGAGAGAGAGAGAGAGAGAGAGAGAGAGAGAGAGAGAGAGAGAGAGAGAGAGAGAGAAAGAGAGAGAGAGAGAGAGAGAGAGAGAGAGAGAGAGAGAGAGAGAGAGGAGAGAGAGTGAGAAAGAGAGCAAAGGATATGCAGATTTCATAAATGGAAAAGTGTGACGTTTGAATTCTTCATCGAATAACGCTTGCACAATAGCTGTAACAACATGTGGTATTTTGGGCTTTGTCAAAGAGCATACCCGTTGGTCGTCCATATCGGCCTTGGTGCCCACGAGAAGCACTCGCACCCCTTGAGGTGAATGCTCCCCAACGCTCCTCATCCACGCTCTGACATCTGCACAACCATGTGCATAAAGCAATAGCAAAACCGAAGGTGCTAAGCACCAAGGGGAGGCACTTCAACAAGTGAACAAGCGAACATAGTGGTTACTTACTATTGAAAGATAACCGGCTGGTGATGTCATATAATAGCATGATGCCATGTGTGTTCCGGTAGTAAGCTGCCAAAAGCACGTGTGGCAAGGAATGGTGGCTCTGATATGCACCAGAACGGAACAGATTGGGAAATGTACAAATAAGTTGAGACGTGCTTGCTGTTTGAACTGGAAACAAGTGAGAGCAGGTTAAGTGAGTATGTGTACCTTCAGGGATGGTTCGGTGCAGCTCAAGGCCTAATGTATCAAAAATGCTTACTCTCACTTGATTGCCATCAATGTCCATCATGCGAATAAAACAGTAATTTTTGCAGACACATAAGAGAGGCCATTCATTATAAGCAGAATCTACACACTTGACTCAATTATGTTTGATGGATATGCATCCATATGTATGCGTTAGTGTGTGTGATTACTGTGATGTGCATACACTGTATGAACTACAAAGGACCGTTCAAAAGCAAGAGAGGGCGAGAGATAGCTAGAGAGGGGGATCGGGGGAGGGGGGAGAGAGGGGTAGAAGTGAAGAGAGGGGTAGAAGTGGAGAGAGTGATAGAAGTGGAGAGAGGAAGTATTGTGATTTTTACATACGTAGGGTGAGATGATGGAATGCAAAATTGCCGCTGACAAAGCCGAAGAATGAGGCTGCTCTTACCCACCGCTGTCATGGACATCCAGAGAAATGCAAATGCGGAATGCACGGTAAGGACTTCAAGCTTAAAGCCTCAATCAACCTCTCTCCTTCCCTCGGAAGAAGGAGACTGCTCTTACCCACCGCTGCAATGGACATCCAGAGAAATGAAAATGCAGAATGCGGAATAAGTGACTCAAGCTTTCCCCCCCTCTCTCCCCCTTCCCTTCCCCCCACCCTTCCCCCCTCCCTCACCCCCTCCCTCCCTACCTCTCTCTCCCGCTCCCTCTCTACCCACCTCCCCCGCTCTCTCCCTCCCCCGCTCTCCCCCTTCCCCCCTTCCCAATCCCCCCTCCATCCCTCCCCCCTTCTCCCTCCCCCTCCCCTCTCCCCTCCCTCCTTCCCTAGTGAATGGCAACGTGGAGATAGAACCCGCGTAACTGGACACGAGTGGGACAATAGATGAGAATAAATGGCACGGACCACTTATGGCTGCTCAGGAAGAGACCAACATCTGCTGATTATAATCACACAGCGATGCTTTACCATAATCGCCGAGTAGGAGAAGCTTCACCGGCCTAGCGGGTCTGCACTTCTGACCTCTCGAAACGCCGTAACCAAACATTGGCGCATCCGGGACCTTACTACCACCTAGAAACCTGATTGATTCTTGACATCGTCCAATGCACCAGATTGAGTAGCAATATGTATTGGAAAAAAATTACGAGAAGATTCACGAGAACAGAAAAGCGTATTCGCGGAACTACTAGACACTATAGATAGGACATTGGTTTTGACGTCGGAAAGAAAATGCTGAAAGGAAGTAAGTCGAGAACCAAAATTTCACGAATTCCTGCGATTTCCGGAAACGCAAGAAATGCCAATTGAAGTCCCAGCTGAAATTAGGGCGTGTGTGAATCTAAATATTACCATAAGTTTACATTTTGGACTCGATTGTAGCAATTGAACACAAAGCGAGCCTGACTCGATTTTGAGTGCTTGCAAAGTTCGAACCGCCAGAGTCAAAAGTTGCCACCTCACAATCACACACGCAAGTGCGAATTTGCAAGTTCGAGCTTGTAGGGGGGGAACCGAACCACCACTAGGGTGTGCAGGCCACCCAGTATCGGCATCTTGACAGCGCGACACGTCAACGGAGCGCGCCCCCCAAATGGACCCTCTAGACCTCCACCTCATCATCGTGCCCCGTATGGACCACCAAGCGCAGAAGCGGCACGTCATCGTGCCACGACATGTTGCACGTGGCGGCCGTTGCCTGCGTGGGTATGCCGTGGGTTTCGGTCGTGCATCTATTGGTGTACGATTGTTCTGCGAGTGTCGCGCACTCCTCGTACGTGCCTGAAACCACACACGTTCGCTTCAACGCGCAAAACCAAGTTTGCTCATAAACTCGATTCTTGTTCACTTTGGGGGGTTCGAGTGAAGCCAGAATCAGTTTGAATCAGTCGGCGAAAAAATTCGCGAATACTGACGAAACGGGTTACAACCCTAAGTTCGAACCTGTTTTCGAACTCCATTTAGATTTAAACACGCCCTTACATCTCCTTTCCCTACCCAACAGCGAAGTCGTTGCAAACTCCTTGCTGGTTTGTTTGGTGAGTCAATTCACGCCAATGCCGTGTTGACCAGGTCACGTTACCCGTCGCAACGAATTTCGCGCGGGTCAGGGCTATTTCTCATATTTTCACGGTTGGTTTGTTGAGTCAAGGTCACGTACCCTTCGCAACCAATCCAGGTCACGTTTACCTTCGCCAATGCTGCTCATCGACGTCAACTGTGGTGTGTCTGAGGAGGCTTTAAAGCCTCAATGCATTATTGCTGGATCTCGAGATCAATGTTCCTGGACTGAGTTCTTTTCATGATCTTTTTGAGGGCCAAAACTAGTATAGCGACTTTATACCCCCGCGAGCGTTATTTTTACGCCAGCTCACTCGAATGACTCGCTCTCGTCGCGCACTAGCGCGATCTCTCGTCACTCGCATTATCCTCTCCTGCGGCGAAACTCTCTTTGCTCGCTATGTCCCGTTGTACACTTTCCCAACCCCCCCGTCACTCAGTATAGTCACTCTATCTCACGTCACACGCTCTCCCATCACTCGCTAGACTCCCTCGCGTGCTCTGCCCGTCGCCCTCGCTCCCCCTCCCCGTCGCCCTCGCTCCCTCTCCCCGTCTGCCTCGTTTCCGCTGCCGGTCGCCGTCGCTTCCCTGCTCGTCGCCCACTTCCCCGCGTCGCATTGCTTCCCCGCGTCGCATTGCTTCCCCTCATCGCCCTCGCTTCTCCTCATCGCCCTCGCTTCCCCTCGTCGCCCTCGCTTCCCCTCGTCGCCCTCGCTTCCCCTCGTCGCCCTCGCTTCCCCTCGTCGCTCTCGCTTCCCCTCGTCGCCCTCGCTTCTCCTCCCCGTCGCGTCGTTTTCCCTGCTCGTCGCCCTCGCTTGCCCTCTAATTTCTCTTTTTTTGCCCCCCAATCCCCCTGCCAGTCGCCCTCGCTTCCCTTCTTATCGCTCTACCCGCCGCCTCGCTTCTCGTGCCCATTGTCGCTGCTTTCCCCTGCATCTCCCGCCCCGTCGCACGGTTTCTCCCATTCTCACACACCCGCCAACCACTTTCGTGCCACCCTCACGTGCTTTCACGTATCATTCTCCCCCGTCGCTCACTCCTCCACTTACCTCCCTTCTACACCCCTCGCTCACCCTCTTCAGTCGCTCACCCTCGTGGCACTTTCGACCACCCGCCACCCTCCCTTTCCTTCCCCTACGTACTCCCAACTCCCCCTCCCCCCCCCCTCCCTCCCCCCCCCCCCACAACAGCCACCCCTCTCTCACATATCCCCCTCCTTCCACCCACATACCGCCCTTTTTCCCCCCACTTACCCCCCACTTCCCCCTCATACCGCCCTCTTTCCCCCCACTTACCGCCCACTTCCCCCTCATTCCGCCACACTAACAGGCCTACTAACATGCCTCATTTCGTTCCCCACTAACAGGCCTCCTCCTCTTTTGCAGCAACCAACCTCCCACTTACCCCGTTCACTCCCCGTACTTCTTCCCTTCCCTTCCCTCACTCACAGTCCGCCCTCTCCCCACTTATCCAATTCCCTCCCCCCATACCGCCCTTCTTTCCCTACTTACCACCCCTCCAGCCACACCCTCAGCTACATACCACCCTCCTTCCCCCCACTTAACACCCTCCACTCCCCGTCATGACGTTCCGCACACCATCCGCATCCCCCCATTCATACCGCCTCCGTGCCCCACCCACCTTGAGCCTACATACTGCAACGTTCCTTCCAACAAGCCACCCTCCTATCCCCTCAAATACTGCCCATGTTTCCCCCAACAAATCACCATCCATTTCCCCCTTAGGACCCTTGTTCCCCTTCAGATACCACCCTCGTTCCACTCACATAACCCCCTCTACTTGCCTCCCAGCCACCCCTCTGCAATCCTCTTTTCCCCCCACCCACCACCCTCTTTTCCCCCCCACAACAGCCCTCCTCTCCTCCAAAATAGTGTTCTCATTCGTCAAACTTACCACCCATATGGCCCCTCTATTCCCAGTCCGTGTGGGCAGAGGGGCAGAGGTGTGGGGGACAAGGAGAGGGGAAGAGAAGAGAGAGTATAGGTTAAGGTTTTTTAGAGGGGAGGGAGAGGCAGGGAAGAGGAGGTGGTACTCAAGGGCTAGCAGGTGTGCATGTTGTCGGGAGGTTATGTCTGTATCAAAAGTTTGTCTACTTTGTCTGATCAGTATGTCTGTTATAGGAGTACAACAGGATGGCTGTACCAATATGGTGTAAACTACTCACAATGATAAGACAAAGTAGACGAAGTTATTATAAATTCAGGAAATCTAACGGTTAGTACCATAATCTGAGTAAATATCTGTTTGTATGTTTACTCAGCTCCCCACTGAGAGTACATTTGTCACAAAAAAATACAAAGATAAAATGAAGAATAAGATTCCTTAATGGTACACACGCCAACTTTCTATGTCAAGTGTAGCTTTGCTTTTGTTTTTGCGAAGTTGCTTCTGTGTGAAAGTTTGGGAGGGACTCAACGTCAATCGCAAGATCCGTTCGCTCGCACTGCTTATCGACGGCCTCACGCAACCAGCGGAAATCACACCCTGCTTTCCGAAATGGTTCCGAATCCCTAGGGTTTGGTTGATGGTGGCGGCAACCCAATGGTACTTGCCATTCCAGAGTCAATTGCGCAAGGGTCCGCGTGAGAGTTCCATTTGCCTGTTGGGAGTTTATTAGTGGTTCATCGGTTCCTTGGAAGGCATTTTGTGCTTTCAAACTTTGGTGACACAGCTTTCTGTTCCAACCCTTTCTAGTCTTCGGAGTTTTCCAACCCTAGAGCTTTCTCGACTGCAATATGGCTCGTACCAAGCAGACGGCTAGGAAGTCCACAGGAGGAAAGGCTCCTAGGAAGCAGCTCGCAACCAAGGTAGAATTAGTTGCTTCACTTGTTTAAGCATACCTCCACGACTTAGCACAGCCAGTAGGTGCCTGTACGCCGAACTGATTTATTTTCCTGCTTGAGTGGTTCAGGCTGCAAGGAAGTCTGCTCCCACAACAGGCGGAGTGAAGAAGCCCCATCGTTACCGTCCCGGAACCGTCGCCCTTCGGTGGGTGCCTTCGAGATTTTCGTACGTCAGCTCTGACGTGAGCTTATCTGACATCTTGGTCGTTGTCTTGGCAGTGAGATTCGCAAGTATCAGAAGAGCACTGAGCTGCTAATTCGGAAGCTTCCCTTCCAGCGGCTGGTTCGCGAAATTGCTCAGGATTTCAAGGTTTGACATTTTTAGTTTTACATGTTGATTGTCATTGCTTTCCGCTATCTTCCTTCCTCACCATGACTTAACTATTGCTATTTGTACTGCGCAGACGGACCTAAGGTTCCAAAGTCACGCCGTGCTCGCACTTCAAGAAGCCGCGGAAGCGTATCTTGTCGGTTTATTCGAGGACACCAATCTGTGTGCCATTCATGCCAAGCGTGTCACCATCATGCCTAAGGACATTCAGTTGGCTCGGCGCATCCGCGGAGAGAGGGCTTAAAGTTGTTTTATGTGTATAGAATGTGTGAGCTCGTGATGGAGCTTCAAAGCCACTCTCGACCTATCATCTACTTTCTTGTTTCAGGGAAACTACGCTTGCCTTTTGTAATTCTAGGATACGGTAGTCTGGCTGTTGATCACTTACCATGGATTTTTGGATCTGGAATGGGGTAGCATTGTGGATTGTTACTAACAGTGCATCTCTTTCTACAAATGTGTTGCATGTTCCGCTGATTCATCCCTTGAGAAATTAATGGACAAGCAACCAATGGTTGAAATTTAATAAATGTCCTGCTTGTCAAGCATTGGCAGGTTATTGTACAGCAGTGGATCATTCTTTGCAAACAATCAAATAGAGGCTCAAAATTTCTCAGTATGGTGCTGCTCCTGTATTTTGACCTCTGAAAGGTTGCTCAATAGACCTGAACCTCTCCATGCATTGCCATCCTCCATACCCTCACGCATCATCCGACTGAACTCCTCCCGGTCAATGTGCCCACTCTGTGAGGGGCGGATGGGGAAGAAGAAAGGGGAGCAAGGGAAGGTGTGACTGGTAAGTAGGTTGCAGTAACTGGCTGTGGGAGGGAAGCTTGGGGAAAAAGTTAGATAGAGCAGGGTGCTTTTCTTACATGGTTGTTGCCAATCTCCTTGAAGAGGCGCTCCACTGTCTCATCGCTCTCGCCTGCTGCAAGTGTGGCCTTCAAATCGGCCATCGTGATGTAACCACGCCCCTCCCTGAAACACACAGAGGACAACGAGCGCATGCCTCAGCAGCAATTGCTTGAAAGAAGTGTTCACATGCAGCCGGGATAAAGCTCGTAGTCCAAACCACAATCTTGATCGTCTTCTATCGAATCAAACTATGTGACGGCATGTGGGCTTAACAGAAACATGTCGTCTACCTGACTGCACAGAAATGCATCCTACCCTAATGGATGAGCAACAAAGACTGTCTCACAACAGCAGTGACCCACCCATCAAAGTGCAGGAATACCCACTCTGTGCACACACCATCCATGCATTCACCACGGTGGCCGCTGCACGCTCTGACTTTCGAGGCGACTCAAAACCCACCTGTCGAAGTGCCGGAATGCCTTGTCTATGCGCGTGGCATCCATACGCTTCACCATGATGGCCGATGCACACCCGTGCTTTTGAGGCAGCTGAAAACTCACTTGTCAAAGTGCCAAAGTGCCTTGTCTATGCGCGTGGTATCCGTGTACTTCACCACGGTGGCCGATGCACTCTCTGACTTTGGAGGCGACTCAAAACTCACTTGTCAAAGTGCCGGAATGCCTTGTCTATGCGTGCGGCATCCATGCGCTTCACCATGATGGCGGAGGCATACTCCGACAGGTCCAATGTGCCCGACCCCTTGCTGTCCGCCTGGCCTCAGAAGGAGGAGAGGGGGGGGGGTTGGGGGGGAGAGGTGGTAGAGAGAGGCAGATTGAATGCACGGTTCCACTCGCATTCACCCTATGGATACACACACCGTCCAAGCGCTTCACCATGATGGTCGATGCATACTCCGACAGGTCCAATGTGCCCGACCCCTTGCTGTCCGCCTGGCGTCAGAAGGGGGGGGAGGTGGTGGAAGAGAGAGGCAGGTCTCATACTAGCATTCACCTTATCTGTATGCGCACCGTCCATGCGCTTCACCATGATGGCCCATGCATACTCCGACAGGTCAACGTGCCCGACCCCTTGCTGTCCGCCTGGCCTCATAGTGGGGGAGAGAAGAGAGAGGCAGGTAGCATTTGCAATAGAACTTGCATTCACCCTATGTATACGCCCACCCCGTCCATGCGCTTCACCATGATGGCCGATGCATACTCCGACAGGTCCAATGTGCCTGACCCCTTGCTGTCCGCCTGGCCTCAGGGGGGTGGCGGGGGAAGAGTGAGGCAGGTGGGGGAGTTGCAAGTCAGCATGGTCAAACAAAGCGAGTTCGTCTCACCACTTTGACAATGTTTCCGTTGTTGGAAAAAGGCTCGGGGAGAGTTGAGATAGGAGGGTTGGCACATCTGCTCAAAGCCTGCTGTATGTGAGTAACTTGTGTCAATCATTGAAAGGGCCTAAATGGTGCCACCATTGCATGGAAACAAGTCTGTAATAGGGTCAAAGTGATCAAAGTGATGCTGGCTCATCACGAGTGGGACGTGGCTTGGCTCATCATGAGTGGGGGGTAACTCGGCACAAAAGAAACAGGAGGAGAGCTTGGCTTGCCTTGGCGCCTGGATGATCTCTCTGGCCTCCTCCTCTGACAATGGGATGTGCAGTGACTGAAAGCTGGCAACGAGGTCAGACACGGAGATGCGGCCATTTTTGCCCAGGTTCAGATGGTCAACACAGCATTGCTTGACCCACTAGGAGTGGGGGATAGCTTTGGTTGGATTGACTCACGCCTGAATGATCTCTCTGGCCTCTTCCTCTGAGAGTGGGATGTGCAGCGACTGGAAGCTGGCCACGAGGTTAGAACCAGAGACACGGCCGTTACTATCCCTGTTGAGACACGCACTAAGGGATAGCTTGGCTCACTGCCTGGATGATCTCTCTGGCCTCTTCCTCTGAGAGTGGGATGTGCAGCGACTGAAAGCCGGCCACGAGGTCCGACACGGAGATGCGGCCGTCCCTGTCGAGGTCCAGATGGTCAAAGCGTGTTCGGATCACTGCCATCTCCTTCTCGTCCAAACAGCATCCTGCTACCACCTGCGGTGTTGGAAAGAAAAGGGCGGAAATGTGTTATCCTGAGTCGACTAAAACGGAGACAATGCGAGATGCGGCCGTCTGTGTCCAGGGCCAGATGGTTGAAACGCGTTCAGGTCACCGTCATCTCCTTCTCATCCAAACACCTGGATGGAAGGGGGGGAGGAGAAGGTGGGAGGGATGAGAACAGAGGGGGGTTTGTCAGGAACTGCGGCACGAAATTCGTGACGGGAAGAGACAGAAGGCACGCGGGCGGGATTGCATTCTTGCAAGGGCTTACCGTGAGCGCTCGTCGCTTGAGGTGGTTCATCTGGCAGAACTGGTGCACTCGCATGCGACAGAGGGCACGTGCGGTGCGGTTGCAGAGTTAAGGGCTGCAGTGGTAAGGGTGGCAGTGTTAAGGGTTGCAGTGGCAAGTGTTGCAGGTTTGAAAGGCACTTACGGCAAGGGCTCGTCGCTTGAGGTGGTTCATCTGGCAGAACTGGCGCACACGCTTCATCACTGGAAGCGACAGAGGGCATGCGTCGTTGCAGTGTTAAGGGTTGCAGTGGCAAGGGTTGCAGGGTCACAAGGCACTTACCGCAAGGGCTCGACGTTTGAGGTGGTTCATCTGGCAGAACTGGCGCACTCGCTTCATCACCGGGGGGCCCAGAGGGCACGCGGGCGCTCCTCCCTCCCGCACCCACTCGTGCTCTGTTGTGGGCAGACAGAGTGAGGGAAAGAGTGTGCGTCTATTTTCAAGGTGACTCGGAAATAGACGAGCTTCATCACTGGGGGTGACACAGGGCACGCAGGCGCTCCTCCCTCTCGCACCCACTCGTGCTCTGTTGAGTGGACAGTGTGAGGGAATGGGTGTCAGAGTGCAGAACGTGTGCGGCAGAGTGAGAGAGTGTGCGGCAGAGTGAGTGTGTGTGCAGCAGAGTGAGAGAGTGTGCGGCATAGTGAGTGAGTGTGCAGCAGAGTGAGTGAGTGTGCAGCAGAGTGAGTGAGTGTGTGGCAGAGTGAGTGAGTGTGCGGCAGAGTCAGTGAGCGTGCTTGTATGGGACTGTATGTATATTCTAGAATGCCCCAAGCACACCCACTGCCCCAATTAACAACTCTCAGGCGTCAAACAATACCCTTCAAGCACACCCAACACCAAGTACTCTCCGCTCTATGAGCGTATCAATCGAGTAGTGTTCTCCTGATCTGTGGATTTTACTTCTGAGAATTCTCAAAAGTAAAAAGCACACCCACCACCAGATACTCTCTGCTCTATGAGCATATCAATCAATCTAGTAGTGTTGTGCTGATCGCGTCACTCTCTATCAATCACCCCCCCCACAGCGCCCTTGGCATGAGGGAACATGGTCAGCCGGGAACCAACCACTGCTCACCTTTTGAGAATTCTTAAAAGCAACACCAGGAACCACTGCGTACCTCCCTCTGTACCATCTCTCCCCTTCTCCCCCCCACACCGCTTTCCCCACCCAAGACACACCCTGGGATAAGGCTCTCCTGGGTACTAAGTCCACGGGTCACTGGTCATGAAGAAGATCTGCAGCGTGAAGGATCGCTTTTTGAGGCGCCTCAAAAGTCAAGGCACACCCTGGGATAAGGCTCTCCTGGGTACTATTTCGCCCACCAGGCAATCCCCTCTTTCCGTCCCCCCCTTCCCTCCCTTGCCCACACCGCCCCTCTCCAAGACACACACTCCCACTGGATTTCCTGTGTGGTGATGCGATTCGCCGAGCTGCGATTGCACCACCCCCTCCAAGACACACCCACACACACACCTACCAAGAATCTCCTGAGTGGTGATTCGCCGGGCTGCATCGCTGTCATGCATGCGCCCCATTAGATCTTCACCTCCTGGGAGACGGCCGGCCAGGGCAGGCACGGCCCATTGCCCCCAGCTACGATTGCACCACCCCTTCCAAGACACACCCACACCCCCACCTAGAATCTTCCGAGTGGTTATTCGCTTGGAAGAATCGCTGTCCAGCATGCGCCCCACCAGGTGGCCAGTGCTTCGCCTGCTGGGAGATGGCCGGTCGGGCCAGGCTGCGCAAGCTTGTATTGCACAACACCCCAAGACACACACGAGTCACTCCCAAGGCACACCTACCTAGGATCTCCTGGGTGGTGATTCGCTTGGAAGCATCGCATTCTAGCATGCGCCCCACCAGGTGCTTGGCTTGCTGGGAGATGGCTGGCCAGGGGGCGCTGCTCATCTCGTACTCTCCCTTCAACACTGCTTCACATATGCCCTCCTCTGATACTGGTGAGGGGGTGAGGAAGGAGGGAGGAAAGGACAGGGGGAAGGAGAGAAGGAGGAAGGGGGAAAGGAGCTGGCTTTGTGAGAGATGGCCAGCCAAGAGGCACTGCTCATCTCGTACTCTCCCTTCAGCACCGCCTCGCATATTCCCTCCTCTGACACTAGTGGGGATGTGAGGAAAGGAGAAGCGGGTGGCCAGGTTTCACTGCTCTGATGGCTGAGGGGCACTGCTCATCTCGTACTCTCCTCTCAACACTGGTAAGGTATGGTACGGTATTGTATGGTATGGTACGGTATGGTACAGTATGGTATGGTATGGTATGGTAAGGTATGGTAAGGTATGGTATGGTATGGTATGGTATGGTATGGTATGGTATGGTATGGTATGGTATGGTATGGTATGGTATGGCATGGCATGGTATGGTATGGTATGGTATGGTATGGTATGGTATGGTATGGTATGGTATGGTATGGTATGGTATGGTATAGTATCCCAACACACCATCCCAGAAGGGTGGGGTGCCGCACAGCAGCATGTAGGTGATGACTCCAACGCTCCACACGTCACACTCGCTGTCGTAGTCTCTTCCCAGCACCTCTGGTGCCACATAGTACGCGCTGCCCACCACCTCCTTGAAATGCTGGCCTGGGAGAGGTACGGGTGAGGAAAGAAACGAGCCAGAGAGAGAGAGCCTAAAGGAATGTAGATGGATGTTTTGCATGTTTTGCTTGAGTTTGCTTCTAAAACCTTATGTGCCTTTACTTAATAAAAGGTCAGTTCGAGAGTGGGCCTAAGGGGGAGAGGGGAGGGCAGCACGTGTCACGGTGCGGAGGACGCTCGCACTGGCCATCACCCTATTGAAGCGCCGCCTTGGGATATGCGGCGAGGGAAGAAACACGGCAGAGGAATTGTGAACGTGAGAAGGGAGGGAGGAGGGCAGCGTGTGTGACTGTGAGGACGACGCACTGCCCACCCTCCCTCGAAGCGCTGGTCACACATGCTGGTCAGGGTGGTCTGGGGGAAGTGCTGGTCAGGGTGGTCTGGGGGAAGTGCTGGTCAGGGTGGTCTGGGGGAAGTGCTGGTCACACACGCACTGCCCCTCGAAGCGCCGGTCTGGGAGGACACGTGGGGAGGACGAAACAGGTGCAGGATGAAAGAAGGCAGAGTTAGAGAAAGCACTGCCCACCACACCTCGTTGAGGCGCTGGCCTGGGATATGCAGTGAGGGAAGAAATCAAGCAGAGAAAGTGTAAAGGGATGTTATGGTGGGGGGCGGGATGCAGGACTCACTGATGCTGTGTCACATCGGGGAGTGGAGAGTGGAGAGTCCAAAGCACGTGGATACCGACCGACACACGCACATACACACGCACATACACACGCACGGAAGGTCTGGCACGTACCAACACACTCACCTGGCTCGAAGAAAGTGGAAAGGCCAACGTCCATGGCCATCAGAGGGGAATCCTCCCCTGCATGCAGCAGCAGGAAGTTCTCGAGCTTGAGATTCCTGTGCACCCCACCCCACCCTGCCTCTCGGAAGGCATGTTGAGGACCGACGCGTACTCACCTGGCTCAAAGAATGTTGAAAGCCCGAAATCAATGGCCATGAGGGGTGCGTCCTCCCCCGCGTGCAGCAGCAGGAAGTTCTCGAGCTTGAGATCCCGATGGATAACGCCCCGCCCGTGCATGTACTGCCTCACTTGGGAATCCACAAGGCACCGACACTCGTACCAGCAGGGCACTGACACGCACCTGGCTCGAAGAACGTGGAAAGGCCAAAGCCATGCACCAGCACACGGCAAACGACTGACACGCACCTGGCTCGAAGAACGTGGAAAGGCCAAAGCCATGCACCAGCACACGGCAAACGACTGACACGCACCTGGCTCGAAGAACGTGGAAAGGCCAAAATCAATGGCCATGAGGGGGGCATCGTCCCCCGGGTGCAGCAGCAGGAAGTTCTCGAGCTTGAGATCGCGATGGATAACGCCTCGCCCGTGCATGTACTGCACTGCCTGCACTATCTGCCGCACCATGCTGGCCGCCCGTCGCTCACTGTAGCTGCCCTCCGCCTTGATCCCGTCGTATAGCATGCCGCCTTGAGGGAGAGGGGAAGAGGAGGGGTTATTGGGGGAGGGGACAGGCAGGGCAGGAGTGAGAGGGAAGAGGCCTTTTGAATCGAATGCAAAAAGCTTGCCCTCCGCCTTGATCCCATTGTACAGCATGCCGCCTTGAGAGAGGGGGGAAGAGGAGGGGTTATTGGGGCAGGGCAGGAGTGAGTGAGTGGGAAGAGGCTGTTTGAATCGAATGCAAAGAGCTGCCCCCTGCCTTGACCCCTTTCCGTTGTCTAGCATGCCACCTGGCTGGGCGATCCGATGGGGGGACGTTTGAGGCGCCTCAAAAGCTTCCGTCTGCCTTGACCCCTTTCCATTGTCTAGCATGCCACCTGGCTGGGAGATACGATGGGGGGGTAGGAGGGAGAGGAAGGGAGGAGTTGCTGTCAACAGGGGAGAGGCAGGATAGTAGGGGAGAGGGATTCAGGCGGCAAGGTGAAGCATTGTCAAAGCATTGGCAAGGTGCATTGGTAAGGAATTCAACACCACTGCAAATCTACCCCTTTACCACTCTAACCCCCCTCTACCCCTCTGCCCATCCCACTGTATGGCTTGCCTGCCAGCCACCTGCAGTTGGGGCGGGCAGGGGAGAGGCAGGAAGAGTAAGTATTGCTTCAGACTCACCTTTTCTCTCCTTTCTCTTCCCCTTCGCTCTGTCTCCCCTCCTCCTTCGCTCTGCCGCCCCTCCTCGTTCCCTCCTCCGTCCCTTCTCATTCCCTCCTTCCCTCCTCATTCCCTCATTTGTATCAACAAGGATGCCTTTTGGGTGTGGGGATGGCGGGGAGTGGAGTTGGGTGGAGTGGGCGAAACCGGCGGAAGGAGAGAGGGAAGGAGAGGAGAAGATGGAGGGAAGACACCCTACAAGGGATGGTCCCCTGAACTGGACTTGCCTTTTCTCTGCCTAAAACCACCCACCACCATCATAGCACGTGTGATACCCCACATGTCCTCTCACTCAGCCACCCACTCTATCTGTACTGCGCACCCCACCACACCACACCACACCATCACACCACACCACACCACACCACATCACACCACACCACACCACACCACACCACACCACACCACACCGCACCACACCGCACCGCACCGCACAGCACCGCACCACACCACACCACACCACACCACACCGCACCGCACCGCACCGCACCGCACCGCACCGCACCGCACCGCACCACACCACACCACACCACACCACGCCTTCACCGCGCCAATCCTCCAGCACACCTGTGCAGAGCTGCAGAATGAAGTGCACACACGTGGCGTCCTCGTATTGGTCGATGAGCGTCGCAATGCCCGCATGGCCGGTGGACAGGTGGGCGAGAATGGCTGCCTCCCTTGCCACGTTGGCACATGACGTGGGCGACAGGTGGCGCTGGTGGGAGGTGGGCAGGTGGGGTGGAGAATGGTGAAATGCGGTGAAAAGGTGTGGGCTTGGATGGCTGCTTCCCTTGCCACGTTGGCACATGACGTGGGGGACAGGTGACGCTGGTAGGGGTTGGAGGTGAGGAACGGTGGGATGCGGTGGAAAGGTGTGAGCTTGGTAACTGCCTCCCATGCCACGTTGGCACATGATGTGGGGGACAGGTGGCGCTGGTGGGAGATGGGCAGGTGGGAAACAGTGGAATTCGGTGGAAAGGTGTGAGCTCGGATGGCTGCCCCCCTTGCCACGTTGGCATGGCACAAGACGTGGGGACAGGTGGTGCTGGCTGGGGTTGGGCAGGTGGAGAACGGTGAGAAGGGGTGGAGAGGTGGTTGAGGATGGTGACCTCTGATGCCAAGCTGGCACAAACAAACGTGGGGCAGCGGTGGTGCTGATTGGGCCCAAAATAGTGGGGAGCGGTGGGGTGGGGTGGAAAGGTGTGGGCAGGAAGGGCAGCGTCACCTTGGTCTCATCTTGGTGATGGTCTCACCTTGATGATGGTCTCACTCACCTTGATGTTGGTCTCACTTTGGTGATGGTCTCACCTTGGTGATGGTCTTGCAGGCAAAGAGCTGCAGCGACTTGCGATGTCTTGCCATGTACGTGATGCCGTACAGCCCCCGCCCCAGCTCCTTGCCTGTACGAAAGGGGAGTGGTGGGGTAGGGTGGAGTGCGGTTGACGCACACACACATGCAAACATGCACATATGCACATGGACACATGCACACATCAAATGCACACACACATCAAAGGAAGTGGCGACATGTGATGTGACGTGACGCGATGTGATGTGATGTGATGTGATGTGATGTGGTGTGATGTGATGTAACGTAATGTGATGTGATGTGATGCGATGGGATGTGATGCGATGGGATTTGATGCGATGTGATGTGATGCGATGTGATGTGATGTGATGTGATGCGACGCGACGTGATGTGACGTGATGTGATGTGATGTGATGTGATGTGATGTGATGTGATGTGATGTGACGTGACGTGATGTGATGTGATGTGATGTGATGTGATGTGATGTGATGTGATGTGTTATGATGTGATGTAATGTGATGTGATGTGATGTGATGTGATGTGATGTGATGTGATGTGATGTGATGTGACGTGACGTGACGTGACGTGACGTGACGTGACGTGACGTGACGTGACGTGACGTGACGTGACGTGACGTGACGTGACGTGACGTGACGTGACGTGACGTGACGTGACGTGACGTGACGTGATGTGATTTGATGTGACGTGATGTGACGTGACGTGACGTGATGTGATGTGACGTGATGTGACGTGACGTGATGTGACGTGAGGTGAGGTGAAGGATGTGACCTGACGTGATGTGATGTGATGCGATGTGATGTGATGTGATTTGTGCACTCACACCCTGCCTTCTCCGCTGGAAGGCCACACACATGCCTTCAAGCTTGCCTCCACACCGCCCTTCCCCCATTCCTCCCCTCACCCATCTCCGTTCTCCCCTCACCTCCCTTTCTCCCATTCCTCCCCTCACCTTTCCCCCATTCCTCCCCTCACCCATCTCCGTTCTCCCCTCACCTTCCTTTCTCCCATTCCTTTCTCCAATTCCTCCCCTCACCCATCTTCCATTCCTCCCATCATTCATCTCTCATGCCCCCCCTCACCTCATCCCCTCACCTTCTCCTGTTCCTCCCCTCACCCATCTCCCATTCTTTCTCTCGCGCTTCTCCCGTTCCTTCCCTCACTCATCTTCCATTCCATCTCCCATTCCTCCCCTCACCATCTACCATTCCTCTCCTCACCATCTCCCATTCCTCCCCTCACCTATCCCCCTTTACTCCCCTCACCTATCCCCCATTCCTCCCCTCACCTACCCCCCTTTCCTCCCCTCACCTATCCCCCATTCCTCCCCTCACCTATCTCATAATCCTCCTCCACTGCCCGAAAAGGCTGCCCCAAAAGGTTCTCGGGCGCACGGGGAGCGCCCTTGCGCGCTGCGCAGGACGACCGGGTGGCGGGGAAGTGGGGGAGGAGGGGAGGAGAGCAGGTAGACGCGCCTCGGTTCTGGGTGGAGTGAAGCGCGAGGTCCGGAGAAAAGCTGGATTGGTCAGCGACGTATGAGCATCAGAACCTAAAGTGAATATCGCGCTGCTTGAGGGATTTCAAAGATTGAATAAACGCAGAAGTTATCTCGGTTGTTGGGAGCCAGTCGTACTTGACGATCAGATCGCCTTACCCCCCCGGGACGCCGCGCTGTTCCTATCAGCGCGCAGCAAAGCCTCGCTGGAGAAACACGCGCCCATGACGCGCGCCGCGAGCGACGGCAACGGCGACGGAGACGGAGACGGCAACCAAGGACCGCCGCCCACAGCTGCCGTGAAACAGCTTGGAGTCTTCAGGCCGGAGGCGCGAGTAATTTCGCATGGACTCCCAGGAAAAAGCCGGCTGGGCGAGACCAGGATCACGTACTATATTACGTCATAAGCCGACTGAGTTGGTCGCGCCGCGGTGGTCTCACTGGAGTCAGATGCTTGGACGGGGATGCATCGAGATAGGTGCTGGGCGGGAGCGGTAGAGTAGTGGCAGTGCGCGCATTGCGAGTGCGACGCAGAGCGACGGTGGTGATTGAGCAGCAGAGACGCGCTGCTGTCGCAGAGAGACAGACCGACATGGATTGAGGAGAAGAGGCAATGAACCAGGTCGCGTCGCAAGTTCGCAGGGGGATGTGTTTCGGGGTTGGAACAGGAACGACGGATTCTGATATTCCAGATGTCGCACTTCTATGCGGTGCAATGCGATGGGGTGATATTCTCGGAGTTTCAAAATGCTAGTTTCACGTTTTGAAACGTTTATGGTAGGAGTTCGATTTCACACCTACAGCGCTTCCGTGCATTCTGTATGGTACGCGCTGGACAACTTTCTGTATGGGGCAGAGTCTGACCGTACATATTGAGAAGAAACGAATATTCGCTGACCGTCATGAGGGCTTCAGAAACCGATTGGACGAGTGATAAGCGGGATGGGATGATCAGGGCACAAATTTGTGGTTTTGTGGATGGGGATGAACCGCTGAAGGCACGCGCTGACCAGAAAAAAATGGGGCGCTGTGGCGGGTGAACGCGGAACGAGCGGAACACGTGGTTTAGCTCACACCGCACACGCTTGTGTCACCAAACCACTGTCTCGGCTACACGTACACATGTACATTCTACGGTATTCCTGAAAAACTATCCTGACCATCCAAACTGGATGATACGGTAGGTACGGTGCCTATCCCTGTGCCAGCTTCACTATATTTCTAGTACCGCACTGGCTATTTCCTTCACTGCTACATCAAATTCAGGTTCCATTGCCTGGCCCAATTAATGCACAAAACGAATTACGGTATGAACGATAAACCATATATGACACACAAAATCTATGCAATGCAAGTCATTCCCTATGCTGTTTACGGTACGGACCATGCACCACAAAACGCCACCTCACCGCGCTAAGACATTATCCGATCAATATGCAGCCACCATTGCCTCTACACATATCCCCGTGCAGCCTGCACATCATCCAGCCTGGCCTGCTCAAACACATAGTACATGGACAAATTCTGCATCTTATCTCCCTGCTGATGCAAAATACACGCCATGCCGCCTGTGCTCTTCGCACGCACCATCGCCTCTCCACCCTTCCCCACCACTTCAAACTCCTCCCAAGGATACCCCCCCAGGTGCGTGAACAGCGTGTTGTAATGATCCAGCTTAATGAACGGAGCAGCCATGACGGACGGAGCATCCTTCTGCCCTGCCTCCATCGCCTCACTAATCACCTTCTCTTCTGACGCGGGCGGCAGCCGGTGAAACGGCGACATCGTCGTGTTGTACCGAACAGGCCGTGGGTTGTGCCATGGCTTGCGGAACGGCGAGTCGGCGAATTTTTCCTGGGCGGCCACAGCAGCAGTGACGCTACCCATGCTGCTGAGAGCGGATTCAAAGTCGCTGGGTTCAGGATAGGGCACGCGGGGGAGGTGCCTGAAAAGGTATTGTTGGCCGATGAAACCGAGGGTGTACGCACGCTGGTCCTGCATACAGTCTCCTACGTATGTGGCATCGATGATCTTAGCCAGGGCCCATGCGTATCCCACATAGGCTCCAGAGTTCAGGAACCAGTTTTTCGTCTCGTTGATTTTCCGAGGGTAAAACACCTCGATTTTCCGCCAGTCCGGGTAGCAGAAGATCTCGCCTCCGAAGGCCACGGGCGCGTTGAGCGAGAGAAACGCCTCCACGAGATTCTCCGGGCGGCAGCGGGGTCCTGGCATGAGGAAGGCGTCGTCGGCGTCGGTGGAAATGACAATGCGGTCGGGCGGCAGCGAGCGGAGGTAGTCGCGGATAGTCCGCATGCGGCCGCCCTGGCCTCTCCAGGGGACGCCCACCCCCACCACGGCGAACGGAATGGCCGCCATGTGCGCGAAATCCGCCATTCGAACCATGGAGAGTCCGCAGTCGGAAGAGTAGATGATCCATTCCACGCGGCAGGAGGAGTAGGAGAATTTGCCACGTGGCACGGGATGCATATCCCAGGGGTCCACGTCAGCGTCGTATTTCACCGCGCAACCGTCCCTTCCCGGGTGTTCCTTCAGCTGCAGCCGATGCAGCAGCCGGCCTCGCTCCACCCCGGCCTCGCCCCTCTTAATCGCCGCTTTAACTATGTGCGAGCAAGGCACGCCGCGCGACGACGGCACCGCGAGCTTGACCCAGTGGCCCATCGGCTGATTCACGCACGAGTCCCAGTGGTCCCTAAACTCCTCGACACGTGGCGTGAGATTAGTGGCCCGCAGCGCCCAGTAGCTCACGCTGAAGAAGGCGATGATGGCGAGGCAAGCGAGGAGGCATGTAACGCGGATGATCGTGCCAAGCAGGCGGGAGGAGAGGAAGGAGGGCGAGGAGGAGGAGGAGGAAGAAGAAAAGGAAACTGGGGATCCAGCCATTGCGCGTGCTGATACACGGAAGTTGACGAGACGGAACTTGTAAGGCGGTTGAAAATGACGAGACTACGAGACCAAAGGAAGGAGGAGGTAAAAAACGCGCGGTAGGAGGGATGGGTGCAGCGATGAAAGTTCGAGGAAATGTCGCGTTTATCTGAATGTCGCGAGAGAGAATGGCGACTGAATGGGGTGGAGGGGAACACAATAAGTGTTACAGAGCATTTCGCATTTCGCACGGCTTGGGATCGTAGTGTCGTCGCACGAAGATTGGACTCCACGAATCGCGAGGCCCGTCCGCAATGAAAGCAGCACTGAGAGATCTAGAGCGAGGAACCCTGGTACCTAAAGATGGACAAGGCGGCAATTTTAGGTCAGTATGGCTTGGAGTGGCGTGAAAAATGTGAGGACTAGGGAGGCGAGGGTAGAAATGGCGGAGATTGGATGTTGCCTGTTGGTTTGGGTAACAAATGCTACGACAACCGTTGTGGTATTCTCGTGATTGTTGTCACTACGTTACAATTGTCGTGAAGCTGTCGCCTTCAGGTACTAATAAGGTGTCCGATACGAACGAAAACAAAATAGCCGTCGTGCTGTCACCCTGTCCACTTCCCTACTCAAAGTTCCAGCATGTTACCCGATGAGCACGGTGGCATTGCGACAAGGCTCGCAAGTTACCAGATCAACCCCAGTTGAAGTTTCCGCTGGCTTGCTGATCCATGCCCCCTTCAGAACTCGAGCTGCAGCTCTACTCTAGTCTGGTCCTCACTGGACATGTTGCAGATAGCAGTGCAAGGCTGAAACCAAATCCGCAAGGAGCGCAATGTCGCGGCAGCCTGCTTGAACAACAATTCCGCAGCACCGCACGCCACCGCACTGTAACCCTCCGCGCAATGATCGCTCGCGCCGCGCCTCTGGCTTCGCGCGTCCCCCGCTCCAGCGTGCTGGTGCCGCTGCCGGCATTTCCTTCTTCTGCGCGTCGTCTGAATTCCTTCTCCCCTGTAGCTTCCGTCGCGAGCGATTCGATCGCCTGTGTCACTCCTAGCACGCGTACTCTGCTACTAAGTGCAAATTTTAATCGCCTCTGTCCGTCCAGGTCCAGTTTCAGTAATCTCACTCGCCTCTTCACGCATTCGCGCGCCGAATTGGTCGCGACTCGTCATCTGAACGAAGCGGGCGTCACGGCAAGCGCGGCGAAATCCGTCCATCGCGCTAGCGAGGAAGATTCTAACGAGGACGAATCGAAACCTTCCGCCGCGAGCGGGCCGACCAAGACAGTAAAAATATTTTGCGCTAAGTGCCAGCAGCAGCTGTACCGATACCGAAAGGGCGGCAATGGGGCATTAGTTAAGTGTTTCGTGGAGCGCATTGCGGAAGATTTCACAGCGGGGGACATGAAGTGCCCCGCGTGCGGGTCGGAGTTTGCGCGGATGCGCATGATCAAGGGGAAGCCCGCGCACAAGATCGTCGGGGGAAAGGTGTTCATGCGCAAGTGAACGCGGCCAGGCGCAAGCGAGCGCGGCCAGGCGCAAGTGAGCGCGGTCAGGCGCAAGTGAGCGCGGCGGAGCAGGCGCGAGTAGCGGCGAGCGCGACAGGCCGTGAAGAGCGCGAGAAAAGAGTTGCGCGGAGTCGTTTGGATCCGTTCCGTCCGCTTCCTTGGCAGCGCTTTTGCTGCACTGCTGCTACACTGCTCCATTCCCACGTCATTGAATCGCCAGCGCGGAGTGCGCGAACGAATCCGAATCCGCCATGAGGCGAGCCTCGGTGAGAAATGAAGATGCGCCCTTCCCCATGGCATGGCCCCCATTTCGCAGTGACAGCACCAGCTTATAACTTCATTTTACTGGCAAAATTCGGGTGGCTTTCAACGGCTCTTGACTGACTTTTAGCAGCACTTTACTACAGTACCATTTTTGGGTACTACTGTCTCGTTATGGCATTTTACTGGCGTTTGACGGGAAGCCCTTGTGAAAAGCACCCTGAGCGTCTCTGTTCCCTTCTGCCAGCACTGCTCCCTCTCGCACTCCCCTTCCCAACACTGCTCCAACACTCTCCTATTTCCCCTTCCTATACTTCCCCCTTCCCCCCTCTCCTCCCTGTCGCCAATCCCTTTTCTGGATTGTGACTGCGCCCCCAGCAACCAGCGCACACCTCGCTGGTCCTAGGCCAGTCACTGCAAGGCTTCTCGCCCCTCGCTGCCAATGTTGTCTCCACGCCTTTCTCCTCCTCCTCCACCTCCTACCCCTCCTCTGCCGCCTCCTGCACTGCAACCACCGCGACCAGCACCAGCTTTACGAGCAGCGGCAGCAAGGGCAACAAGGAGGGGGAGTGGCGTGTGTGGCGGTACCTCCGCCACCAATGGCGCTGGCTCTCTGCCTCTTCTGCCTCTCTCCCTTCCTCCTACCATGGGAAAGCAGGAGGTGGCAGCAGCAGCAGCGGCGGCGGCGGCAGGTTTGGGCTTCATTTCGGGTTGAGCGGTGCGACTTTAGGCGGCAGCAGCGGTGTCTGGGGCAGGGGAGGGAGAGGGGTGGTGATGGAGGGAAGGCGGAAGCGAGTGCGGCGGTGGGTGGTGGTGCTGTTGGCGCTGGTCGTGCTGGGGCTGGTTCTGACCGGTGCGCTGGTGCTGGGTGTGCGCCGTGCTGCCTCCTTGATTCTCCTCTTCCATGGCGGCCTGAGCAGCACGAGCGGTCAAAGTGCAGGTGAGGGGATATGAGGCAATGGTGCTAGTAGTGGCGCTGGTGGTGCGGGGGTGGTACTTGCTGGTGTTGTGGTTGTGGGCATGGGGCGTGCTGCCTCATTGATCCTCTCTCAGGTGAGGAAATATGAGGCACTGGTGCTACGAGTAGTGCTGGCGTTGCTGGTGTTGGGGGTGGTGCAAGCAGGCGCTGCGGTGGTAGGTGTGCGCCGTGCTGTCTCGTTGATCCCCTCCCATAGCGGCCAGGCCACGAGTGGTCAAAGCGCAGGTGAGGGAATATGATGCAGTGGTTATGGCGCTGGTGGTGGTGCTAGCAAGTGCTGTGGCCGTGGATATGGGGCGTGCTGCCTCATTGATCCTCTTCCATGACAGCCTGAGCGGCAGTGATGCTGGCAGTGATGCTGGCAGTGGTGACAGCAGGGTGGTGCATGTCAGAATCGGCGCATCTTCACTTCCTTCTCGTCTCACTGGGCCCTCCTCATTTCCCTTTCTCACTTGCCACCCCATGCAGGTATTAGTAATACAGCTTATTTCCATGCCACCACCAGCAGCAGCAGCAGCAGCAGAGGGAATGAAACTCGTAGAGTGGAGACTGATAGAGGGATCGAGGAGGAGGGGTCGATGCTGGGGTTGGCCGTAGACTGGAGTGAGGAGGAGCGGAGGAGGATGGAGAGGAGCAGAACGGTAGGTACGGAGACTCAAGGGAAGGAGAGAGGGGAGGATACAGGGGAGTTTTGGGTGAGGCGGCGGGTGGGGGGAGTGAGAAGAGCCGGGGAGAGAGGGGGTAAGGAGCATGCGGTGAGAGGAAGAAGGAAAACGAACGGCAAGGGGAAGGATGGTGGGGTCAGCGACAGGGGGTTGCAGGAAAGGAGGAGGAAGCGAGGAGGGAGAGGAGGGGGCTTGGAGGGGAGAGGGGGAGGGCGAGTGAGGGAGTGTGAGGGGGTGATGGTGGGGGAGTGGCCTGGAGTGGATGGGTTGGCAGCTGTGGGGACACTCATGGCTGTGCGGGGGAGGCGAGTGAGGGAGGGAAGAGGAGGGGAGAGGGGCGGGGCGGAGAGTGAGAGAAGTGGTGGTGGTGGTGGTGGTGGTGCTGGGGGTCAGATCAGCAACAGCAGCGGCGTTCCTTCCCTTGGGTGTGTGTGTATAATTATGGCATCATCCTTCTCTTCGTCGTCTGTTTGTTTCGTTAATTGTTCTGCAACTTGCACTGAAGGTTGTTTCTGATATTCATCGCATTGGAGCTGCCTCGGGAGAATCTCAAAGGCGGTTCCTCTGCTCCTGCTGCGTTGTCAAGTACATGCATGCCCCTCCTCCTGCCTTTCCCTCCCTTCTCCTCCCTTCCTCCTCCGTTCCTCCTCTCCTCTCCGTCTCTGCTACATCACCCACCCTGCGCCTCCTCGCCTCGCCTCTCTTCTTCCAAGCCCCTTCCACGACCAACATCAACCACCATCGTGCCTCTCCCTTCCTCCCACCTGCAAACGTCTCTCCCTCGTCTCTCCCTCTTCTCTCAGCTCCTGTGCCATGGTGGGCCCTCACCTCTCCCATGCGGCCTCCGTGCCTCACATCTGCAGCCCTCTGCACCTTCCTTCGCCCCATCCCACACCCAACTCCTCTTTCCTGCCCCTCCCCTCCTTGCCACCTCCCTCCACCTAAATAGTTCCTGTGCAGTGGTGGGCCCTCACCTCTCACATGCGCCCTCCGCACCTCACCTGGGAGCAGCTATCGACTCGCACTCCCTCGTGCTGCGCCTTCCCTCTCCCCATCCCACCACCCCCCCCCTTCTCCCTCCCCCGGTTCTCTCTTAGCTCCTGTGCCGTGGTGGGTCCTCACCTCTCCCATGCGCCCTCCGCACCTCACTTTGGTGCAGCCATCGACTCGCATTCCCTCGTGCTGCGCATGGGGCAGCACACCCCTCCCACGCGCCTGCAGGCCTACGTGTGAGTGAGTGCGCTGGTCAATGAGTGGGTGGGTGAGTGAGTGAGTGCATTGGTGCGTGAATGTGTTGACTCGCACGCCCTCGTGCTGTGTATGGGGCAGCGCACCCCTCCCACGCGCCTGCAGGCTTACGTGTGAGTGAGCGGGTTGATTGTGCATCGGGTGCTTGCATTGATGCGTGAATGTGTTGACTCGCACTCCCTCGTGCTGCGCATGCGGCAGCACACCCCTCCCACGCACCTGCAGGCCTATGTGTGAGTGTGCTGAAAAGGTATGCACTGGGTGCGTGCGGTGCAATGCATTGGTGGGTGCGTGCATTAGTGTGCGCATGTGTTCACTCGCACTCCCTCGTGCTGTCTATGGCCCAGCACTCCCTCGTGCTGTCTATGGCCCAGCACTCCCCAACCACCCGCCTGCAGGCCTATGTGTGGTGTGAGTGCGTGGAACATTATTGCACCACCCATCCGCCTGCATGCATGCCGGCGGGTGCTGATCTCTGTGTGTGATGGGTGCATGTGCCCTGTGTGGTTATCCATGTGCGGTGTAGTGCAGTTCACTTCAATCCTTATCATCCTGAACTGAGTGCATGTGATGTGAGTGGGGGCCATGCGGATTGGTCAGTCACATGGCAGCGTGTGAGCAACAAGCCCGGGTAGTGGCACAGCACGGTTTGATATGGAGGTCACTACCATGTCTGGGTGTGGCACGGTAGCAACAAGCCTGGGTGTTGTTGTTGGGGACTGGAGGGAACCTTCCCCCCCCCTTTCACTGATTCTTTAAGTCTGTTTCTCCCTCTCTCCAGTTCCCCTCATCACTCCCCCCCCCACCAGCCTGGGCAGTCGCACAGACGTGTGGGTGGAGGTGGGGGGTAGAGAGAAGGACCCCTTTCCTTCTGATTCACAAATTCCTCTTGCTCTCCTCCCTCTCCCTTTTCTCCATCCCTCCCCCCCCCCCCCCCCCCCCCCAGCCTGGGCAGTCGAACAGACGTGTGGGTCGAGGTGGGGGGTAGAGGGGGAGGGGGCCTGCACGGCACACACGAGGTGGGGGGAGGGGCGGGGGGAGGGGGCACAGGGAGGGGCCTCACCAAGGGAGTGGGGAGAGGAAGGGGGAGAGGATTGGGGAGAGGATTGGGGAGAGGAGTGGGGCGGCGACGCTTGCTGGTGCTGAAGAGCCGATCGGTGGCATACCTACGTGCTGACAGGTGAGAGTGTGGGGAGTGAGATATTGGGGAGTAAGAGTGTGGGGAGTGAGATATTGGGGAGTAAGAGTGTGGGGAGTGATTTGATTTGACTCAAAAGTAAAATTTCTGAAGCTGATGAATCACTCTGTGGCATACCTTCATGCTGATAGGTGTGAGGAGTGAGAGAGTGGGGGGTGAGAGAGTGGGGCGTGAGAGAGTGGGGAGTGAGAGAGTGGGGAGTGAGAGAGTGGGGAGTCACAGGGGAGGCCAGACATAAACACGAGCGTGGTCGGCTCGGTACAAATCGTGTTGGGTGCGAGGTTGCAAATCCAGTCATTTGTCATTTGTGTGGCGAGCCATGATTGACTGGAGTGCATACGAGGGTTCACGATGACACGCCTGCAAGGCGCCTCAGTATCTCCTTTCGCCTTCTGTTCCTCCCTGCACCTCGCCCCCCTGTCTCCCCCCTCACTCCCCTCCCACCTTCCCACTGCCCGCCAGCTCGGCCCTTCTTGCCCCACTGCCCTGGCTGCCAGCCTTGCAGCAGCTGGGTGTGAGCAGAGGGCACGTGGGCAGGCGACGAGGGGATACAAGTGCAGGGGAGGATGATGAGGTGAGCTATGCAGTGTGTAAGCGGCCCATGTCCTCTCCACTCCTTCGCCCAGCTCGGCCCTTCTTGCCTCACTGCCCTGGCTGCCAGCCTTGCAGCAGCTGGGTGTGAGCAGAGGGCACGTGGGCAGGCGACGCGGGGACACGAGTGCAGGGGGCGAGGAGGATGAGGTGAGCGAAATCCATTCAATTCATGGAGATGCCTAGTGGACCCTATCACAACCTGCTATTCGTTTTGGAGGTGCCTTTTGTTTCGGAGGTGCCTTTTGTTTCGGAGGTGCCTTTTGTTTTGGAGGTGCCTTTTGTTTTGGAGGTGCCTTTTGTTTTGGAGGTGCCTTTTGTTTTGGAGGTGCCTTTTGCCTTTTGTTTTGGAGGTGCCTTTTGTTTTGGAGGTGCCTTTTGTTTTGGAGGTGCCTTTTGTTTCGGAGGTGCCTTTTGTTTTGGAGGTGCCTTTTGTTTTGGAGGTGCCTTTTGTTTTGGAGGTGCCTTTTGTTTTGGAGGTGCCTTTTGTTTCGGAGGTGCCTTTTGTTTCGGAGGTGCCTTTTGTTTTGGAGGTGCCTTTTGTTTTGGAGGTGCCTTTTGTTTCGGAGGTGCCTTTTGCCTTTTGTTTTGGAGGTGCCTTTTGTTTTGGAGGTGCCTTTTGTTTCGGAGGTGCCTTTTGTTTCGGAGGTGCCTTTTGTTTTGGAGGTGCCTTTTGTTTTGGAGGTGCCTTTTGTTTCGGAGGTGCCTTTTGTTTTGGAGGTGCCTTTTGTTTTGGAGGTGCCTTTTGTTTTGGAGGTGCCTTTTGTTTTGGAGGTGCCTTTTGTTTTGGAGGTGCCTTTTGCCTTTTGTTTTGGAGGTGCCTTTTGTTTTGGAGGTGCCTTTTGTTTTGGAGGTGCCTTTTGTTTTGGACCACACCACATAAATACCTGCCATCTGTTCTGAAGGGTTAGAACAGCAATTTATTCGTCCAGCGTCCATGCCTCCGTTTCTTCCCTTCCCTCCTCCCCCCCCCTCCCCCCCCCCCCCCCCCCTCCTCTCCCCCCCCTCTCCTCCCCCCCTTTTCCCCTCAGGCCCTCGTCCTCCCCCACGCACTAACGGACAATCTCGCTGCCTCTTCAACGCCTTTGGTCTTAATTCTGCCTGCTATTCTTTGGTGGTGCCTCCCTCCTCCCCACCCCTCCCCCCCCTCTCTCCTCCCCCTTCCCCTCAGGCCCTCGTCCTCCCCCACGCACTAACGGACGAATCTCGCCGCCTCTTCAACTCCTTTGCCCACCGCTTCCGATGTGCCATCGCTGCTCCCGTGCCTGCAGCACGCCATGCCGCCTCTGGTGCTGCCGCTAGTGCTACAGCCGCTGCTGCTGCAACAAGTGGGGTGGTGGCAGCGGCAGCAAGGGCAGCAGGGGCAGCAAGGTCAGCAGGGGCAGCAGGGGCAGCAGGGGCAGGAGGGGAAGCGGCCATCCCCATCCCCATGGCGCGCATGCCCCCGCACTGGCCTGTGCTGTACCTGCTGCTGCATGCGTGCGACAAGCTCACGTTGTTTGGCCTTACCCGCAATGCCTCCGTGCATGTGCTGCAGAGGTGAATCTCTCATCTCTCACTCTAACCTAACTCTCATCTCTCACTCTAACCTAACTCTCATCTCTCACTCTAACCTAACTCTCATCTCTCACTCTAACCTAACTCTCATCTCTCACTCTAACCTAACTCTCACCTGGCGAAGGCCACGAAACTTGAGAATCAACTCAAATGCTTCAACTCTGTCCGCATAATATCCCTTCCCAGCGCCTGAAGAGCTGTTCATACTAGACTCCTTCTTGTTGCATGTGACGTGTAAAAAGTGATATTTTGAGAGGTCTCAAATATTCACGCTTTACTTACATGTTGCTGTTCGTAGTACAATCCTTGTTGTTGCAAGCGTTTTTTGAAAGTTTTAAGACATGAGCTGGTTGTACCAAACTCTCTATGGCATGCTCTAACGTGCATCCCCAACCTCCTCCTCACATCAAGGTCACTTTTCCTCCCTTGTCTCCCACCCATTTTCCCCCCAGCCCCATGCACGTCCCCTCAGTGCGATCAGAGCTGCATCGGCGCCCATCGCTGCTGGTGCTAGAGTCACTGCTGCATTCACTGGCACGCACCAACCTGCTCAGCTGCTGCGGGGGCATCGAAGCCCACTTCTGTCGCCTGCCACCGCTGCTGCATGTGCGTGATAGAGGTGGGAGAGAGAGTGTTGCCTCTGGGGGTGATAGGGGTGCGAGCAGTGGGAGGGACAGTGTTGCCTCTGGTGCTAGTGGAACAGGGGAGGTGGCTTCTGGTGCAGGTGGTAATGGTGCAGGCTTGCTTGGTGGAGAGGGGACTGGGGAAGGAGGTGGGGTGGCAGGGAGAGGCATGGGATGGGCTGGACAGGAGAGGCAGGAGAAAGAGGGGACAGGGCAGGGGAGTGAGGAAGCTCGCAGTGGTGCTGGCGATGGTGAAGTGCATGGGAACGAAGGGGGCACTGCTCTTAGCAGAAGATCTGTTAACGAGGAAGACTATGATGAGGATGAGGTGGATAGTAGAGGCAGGGCAGGGAAGGTGGTAGGGGGGCAGGGTGCTGTGGAGGGGGCAGGGTGGGGGGATGAGTATGGGGACGAGGGGGAGGAATGGGTGGAGGCGGGAGAGGGGGAGGGGGGTGGAGTAGGGACGGGTGGGGGGGAAGATGATTATGAGTATGATGATGATTACTATGGGGCGCCTATCGAGGAACTGATGAGTGACTTGGAGCATGCCAACGTGGCACATGCACAAGAGGTGCAACAAACAGATGCGTGAGTAAAATCTACCTGTTATTCTTATACCGGAAAAAAAATTATTGCATAATATTCTGTGAGCGGAACATTGTTAGAATGGCAAGGCGGCTTTCATATGGCCGTTGCTAGATGTATGTCATAAAATCTCTAAGTGGTCGTTGTTACAAGTGGTAGAATATTCAGCGTTCTGCGAAATAGATGTTCTGCTGTCCTGGCGAAGTCAACGGGTCTCCCATGCTGAGCTGGTGTGGATCTGCATCTTGCCACGTCAGGAGAATCCGCGAAGGGGGTGAGATGGGGGGGAGTTTGTGCTTTGACGGGCAAGGACTCGACGGAAACTGTTACGAAGCTCGAGCCTTGACGGAAACCGTTGTCCTCTCTCGACTGCCAAGAAAATCCCTTCCATCATCCATCGTGCTCCACTTCAACTCGACATACATCTTCCGAGTACTTTTGCTGCCTTGAAACCTCGATATTTCAAGAATTCAGGATTTCCATATAGCGTCGCCATTCACTAAGTCGGCGCTGCGCCGTTTCGTCTTCGACACCCTTCAAAATCTGGGAGTGCTATCGGAAATAGTAGTTTTATGCACTTTCCGCGCGTTCAGACTCACATCGAGGCATTCCGTAGAGCGTAGACGCGGCAGCTTCAGCACACTTTCCGCGCGCAATCATGGCCGCACCGCGCGAGGTATTCGTTATAGGCACAATGGACACTAAAGCCGAGGAGCTACTCTTCCTCGCGTCGCAGCTTAAACGGTCGCTTACCTCCTTAACCCCCGCGGAACCGCCTTTTTCCATCTCTATAGTCGACGTCTCCGCGTCTCCGTCATCCGCGGCTCCCGTTACAAGCACACCATTCCCTATAATCTCCGTTTCCGACGTCCTCGCGTCGAATCCCGACGCCGCTGCAAAGTCCGCCGCGTCTCTCGCCGCGGATCGCGGAGAGGCGGTGCAGGCGGTGGCCGACGCGCTGAAGCGGTTCGTGCGGGGGAAGTGGGACGCGGGCGCGCTGGCGGGCGCGGCAGGGATCGGGGGAAGCGGGGGAACGGCCATCATTGCGCCCGCGCTGAGGGAACTTCCCGTCGGCGTTCCCAAGATAATCGTCTCCACCGTGGCCAGGTGCGTTTCTTTAACGAGTTGTGACTGTAGCGAGTGTTGTTGTTGCCATCGTAGTGGTCGTGGCGCACCCCTCTGAACCCGCTTCACTGAACCCCCGCTTCGTTACCCCTTCCCACACCCATCCGATCCCGCCATACCACTAAACGAAGCGGCAACACCGCACCATACGTGGGCACGTCCGACTTTCTATTGCTCCCTTCAGCGGGGGACGTGGCGGGGCTGAACGCCATTCTCCTTTCACTGAACCTACCTCCAACCCCACCCTCTTCTCTCCTCTCCAAACACCACCCTACCAGCGGCAACACGGCGCCATACGTGGGCACCTCAGACCTCCTGCTACTACCATCAGTGGCGGACGTGGCGGGGCTCAACGCCATTCTCCGCGCACTGAACCCCCCTCTCCCTCCCCTACTACCATCGATTGCAGTGGCAACACAGCACCCTACATTGGCACGTCCGACCTCCTATTGCTGCCATCAGTGGCGGACGTGGCGGGGCTCAACGCCATTCTCCTCTCACTGAACCCCCCCCCAACCCCGCCCTCTTCCCCCTCCCATACACCACCATCCAGCGGCAACACCGCACCGTATGTGGGCACCTCAGACCTGCTGCTGCTACCATCAGTGGCGGACGTGGCGGGGCTCAACGCCATTCTCCGCGCTGCCCTCTCCTCCGCCGCCGCTGCCCTCGCCGGCATGCTGCTCCTGCGCGCCCTGCCCGCCCCGCAGCACCCTGCCCAACCGCCCTCCACCGCTCTGCCTTCCTCTGCTGGTGCCTCTGCTGCTTTGGGAACTGCCCCCGTTACAGTGGGGATCACGATGTTTGGGGTTACCACTCCGTGTGTTACGGAGGTGCAGCGGCTTCTCAGCAGCAAAGGCGGCAAGGAAGGAGCAGGGGAGGCGGGGGATGCAGGAGGAGCAGGAGAGGTGGAAACAGTGGTGTTCCATGCGACGGGCACGGGGGGCAGGGCCATGGAGGAGAACGTCGCCTCTGGACTCATTCAGGTGCGCTCACTCGCTCGCTCGCTGCACATTCCTCACTCTTTTTCCCACTCTGCTCCATCCGCTCACGCTGCTCGCCAGGCTGTGCTGAGCATCTGGGCAGGAAGGTACGGGGCGTCTAGACGCCCAGTGTGTTGATGCCCCGTTTGCCACCAGCAGCTTCAACACATTGGCTTCATGAGAAAACGGGCCTAGTTAGCTCACCACTCGCTCGCTTCAAGCACTCTCTTTTCGCCCTCCGCTCGCTCTTGCCACTCGCCAGGCTGTGCTGGCTGGCTGGACATCAGTACAAGAGAGGTGGTTGGTTGGTAGCACGCGGCACCATGCATGCCCTAGTTGCACAACAAATTCGTGCGAGTCACTCCAACCACACTCCTCTCTCCCTGTTTCCAGTTGACTTTTGAGTCGACTCCAACTTCAAGTGTTCCAGGTTGCTCTCGATTTCACAACAACGGAGGTGGCGTGGCAGACTAAGTCTATGTGATGGGCGGGACGGCACCGTGCCGTGCCTGCCCACCACGCTCGTGAGAGTCACTCCTCACCTCTCATTCCCCCCTCTTTCTTCCCCACTCCCCTCCCCTCCCCACTCTCCCACAACCCACGCAGTGCTGGACATCACAACGACAGAGGTAGCAGACTCCGTGGTGGGAGGCACCATGCCGTGCCTGCCCATCAGATGTGACGCCGCCATTCAGAGGGGCGTGCCTCTCGTGCTCTCCCTGGGGCGAGCTTTGAGGCGTCTCAACATTCATAGCAGGCGGCACCTTGCCCTGCCTACCCACCGGCTTTGTGAAAGCCACTCCAAGCTCACACCTCCTCCCTCCCCACTACTCACTCCCCCTCCCCAGGCTGTTCTGGACATCACAACAACCGAAGTAGCAGACTTCATAGTGGGAGGCACCATGCCGTGTCTGCCCACCAGGTTCAATGCCGCCATTCAGAGGAAGGTGCCTCTCGTGCTCAGTCCTCCCTCCCCTCACCTCACTCACTCCCTCCACCACAGGTGGTTCTGGACATCACAACGACAGAGGTAGCAGATTTCATAGTGGGAGGCACCATGCCGTGCCTGCCCACCAGGTTCGACACCGCCTTCCAAAGGAAGGTGCCCCTCGTGCTCAGCCTGGGGGCGCTCGACATGGTCAACTTCGGAGAAGCTTCCTCCGTTCCCAAGGAGTTTGAGGGGCGCACCTTGCACGTGCACAACCCGCAGGTATGACTGTGAGGTGATGCTCAGGGGAGCGGTTAGTTATTCTGAGGGAACATTATTATCAGTATAAGCATGGGCACAACCCGCAGGTATGACTGTGAGGTGATGCGTGGGGGAGAGGTTAGTTAGTATAAGGGAATGTTCTCAGATATAATGCAGGGCGCACCTTGCACGTGCACAACCCGCAGGTATGATTGTGAAATGATGTGCGGTGGAAACGTTAGTTAGTATGAGGGAATGTTATCAGATATAATGCACGGGTGCACCTTGCACGTGCACAACTGCAGGTGCGATCTTGTGAGGTGATGCGCAGGAGAGAGGTGAGCAATCATGCGGGAATGTAACCAAGGATCGTTTTCACGTTCACAACCTGCAGGGGCGGAAGTGCAGGCAAGTGGGGAGAGAGAATACGACTGCTGTGCTTCTTGTTTCTAGTGTCTGTCGAGTGCCTGTCAGGTATCATAGTGCTGTCTCACAGTCTCCCTCTTCCGTATTCTGCTTCCCCCCTTTCCTTTCCTCCTGCCCACCACCCCCAGGTCACCCTCATGCGCACAACGGCCGACGAGAACCGTCGGATCGCGCAGTTCATCGCGGGCAAGATGAACCAATCACAGGGGCCCGTGACACTTCTAATACCTGAGGGGGGCCTGTCGGCTCTAGACGCCCCGGGCATGGCCTTCTGGGATCCTGCTGCTGACGCTGCTCTTTTTGAGGAGCTGGAGAAGCAAGTGGAGCAGACAGACAGCAGGAAGGTGAGTGCAGAGAGGGAACAGAACGGGTACAGTGGCGGTAAAGGGTGGGAGGGATAGAGTGCGGTGCAGATGAGTGCAACGGAATGGGTGGGTTGTCGGCCCCAAATGTCCCCGGGCATGGCGCGCTGCTCTGTTTGAGGAGCTGGAGAGGCAAGTGGAGCAGACAGACAGCAGGAAGGTGAGTTTAAGATAGGGAGGGATAGATTGCGGTGCAGATGGGTGCAACGAAGTGGGCGGGCTGTCAGCAGTAGATTCCCCGGACATGGCCTTCTGGGACCCTGCTGCTGACGCTGCTCTGTTTGAGGAGTTGGAGTTACGGGTTCTGCAGACAGACAGCAGGAAGGTGGGTACAGTGAAGGTCGGGAGGGATAGAATGCGGTGCAGATGGGTGCAACAGAGTGGACTGGTGTTTGTGGAGTTCTGCGGCCAATGCTGCTAATAATCATCTGTTGTGACGCCTCAGAAGTCGTCACGTTGTGCTTGCTACTCATCATCTGCAGAAACACAATGGATGGAGTGTGCGGAGGCGATGGGTGGTGAGAGGAATGGGCGGCGGTGAGATTAGGGACTCAACCTCTCACTCTCACTTCTAACCTTCTCCTTCACCCATTCCCTCTTCCCCCACTCCCTCCCCTCTCTCTCTCTCTCTCTCCCCCTCGCAGATCATTCGCCTGCCCCACCACATCAACGACCCTGCCTTCGCTGCTGCCCTCGTCAATGGCTGTTGAGGCGCCTTTAAACAATATCTCTCTCACCTCTCTCATTCCCTCTCTCCCTCACTTCCCTCTCTCTCTCTCTCTCCCTCTTGCAGGTCATTCGTCTGCCTCACCACATCAACGACCCTGCCTTCGCTGCTGCCCTCGTCAACACTCTCCTGCCCCTCCTCCCATCCACCAGTGCTCCCGCCGCAGCTGCCCCTCCTGCCGCTGCTGCCCCACCTGCTTCTGCTACTCCTCCCCCTCCCCAACCCTCCGAACCAGCCACCGCCACAACCACCCCTGCCCCCTCCACCTCTCCCTCCCCGTCCCCACCCATCCCCGCCACTCTCAACCCACCTCCTGCTCTCGACCTCACGCCAATCCCCTGGCTAGTCGCCCGTCGCACCGCCATCCTGCACTCTCTCCGGTCCCAAGTGGCAGCAGGGAGGGCGATCATAGGGGGCGGGGCGGGCACGGGCATAAGCGCCAAGTGCGAGGAGATGGGCGGCGTGGATTTGATTGTGATCTACAACTCGGGGCGGTTTCGCATGGCTGGGCGCGGGTCGCTGGCAGGGCTGCTGCCGTTTGCTGATGCCAATGCTGTCGTGGAGGACATGGCTAAGGAGGTGCTGCCGGTGAGTGGCTTCCTGAGAGTGTGATTGTAGTGAAGGTGCTGCTAGCAAGATGTGCTGTTGGTGAGCGTGATTGTAGCAGCAGGTGCTGCCGGGGAGTGGTAGAGTGCTGTAATGAGATGGGCGGTGTGGATTTATTTGTAATCTACAACTCGGGGTGCTTCCAAAGGGCCGGCAGGGGGCCGTTGGCGGGGCTGCTGCCGTTCGCCGATGCCAACCAATGCTGTGGTGGAAGATATGGCCCGGGAGGTGCTGCCGGTGAGTGTGATTGTGGCAACAGGTGCTTCTGGTGAGTGCCTTTCTAAGCTAAGAGGTGATGGTGGTGAGTGGCTCATATGGGTGCAAGTGGCTGCACACTAGTTAGCTATGGTGGAGGATATGTGCTGCCAGTGAGTGTGACTGTAGGGAGAGGATGTTTTGGTGAGGTGTGGCAAGTGGCCATAGAGTAGCAAGCTGTGGTGGTGCTTTTGGCCAAGGAGGTTCTGCCGTTGAGTGTGACTGTCGTGAGAGGTGCTGCTGGTTCCACCACCCTCCCCCCCCTCTCCTCTCCCCCATCCCCTCCCGCCCCCACGTGATCAGGTCAGTGCCAGTATTAGCAGGAGTGTGTGCCACAGATCCCTTCCGCCAGATGCCGCTCTTCCTGCGCAACCTGGCCGCTCTCGGCTTCGCGGCCGTCCAAAACTTCCCCACAGTGGGGCTCTACGACGGCTCTTTCCGCACCAACCTGGAAGAGTCCCCCCCTTCTCTCCGCCATTCTCCCCTATGCTCCCCCCACTCTTCCCGTCTCCCCTCCATTTCCCCAGGTAATCAAGTCAGTGCCAGTATTAGCAGGAGTGTGTGCCACAGATCCCTTCCGCCAGATGCCGCTCTTCCTGCGTGACCTGGCCGCCCTCGGCTTCGCAGGCGTGCAAAACTTCCCCACAGTGGGCCTCTACGACGGCTCATTCCGCACCAACCTGGAGGAGACCAACATGGGGTACCCGCTCGAAGTCGCCATGATTAAAGCGGCTAGTGTCCTGGGTTTCCTCACGACGCCGTATGCTTTCAATGAGGACGAGGCGCGGAGCATGGCAGGCGCGGGGGCCGATGTGGTGGTGGCGCATATGGGGCTGACGGCAGCAGGCAGCATAGGGGCGAGAACGGTGTGTTCCCTTGAGGAAGCAGTGGGGCGAGTGCAGCGCATGGCTGATGCTGCCAGGGCGGTGAACCCGGACGTGCTAGTGCTGTGCCATGGTGGTGAGTGGTGCTGTGCGGTAACTGGGGAGGTACACTGGGGGATAACTGGGGGGTACACTGGGGGGTACACTGGGGGGTAAACTGGGGAACGAGTGGGACAGCATAGGGGCGAGGACGGTGTGCTCTCTTGAGGAGGCGGTGGGGCGAGTGCAGCGCATGGCTGACGCTGCTAGAGGGGTCAATCCCAACGTCCTCGTGCTGTGCCATGGTGGTAAGTGGTTCTGTACGGTGGGGTGCTTTGGGAATGAGTGGGTTACGGGGGGGGGGGGCGATGTGGTGGTGGCGCATATGGGGTTGACAGCAGCGGGCAGCATAGGGGCGAGGACGGTGTGCTCTCTGCAGGAGGCGGTGGGGCGAGTGCAGCGCATGGCTGATGCTGCTAAAGCTGTCAACCCGGATATCCTAGTGCTGTGCCACGGTAGTGAGTGGTGCTGTGCAGTGGAGTGACTGGGGAAATAGATGGGGTCTTACTGGGGGGTGATTGGGATGGGAGGAAACTGGGGGTAATGGGGGTAAGTGAGGGGTACCATGAGGACACGTGCTCAGATTGCCGCTGCATCTTCTGGGGCATAACGCTCTCTGCTATAAAGGGGATGCAACGAGGAAGGGCTGTGCTTCCCTTCGTCCCTCTTCCCTGCTGCTCTCCTCCCCTCTCCATATTGCATTCCTCCCTTGTGTTCCTCGCAAGCCTCCTTACCGTCTTGTTTGCGCAAGCAACGTTGCAGAGGCACCCCTGTTACGTTGCTTGTGCTCCTGCCAACCCCCTCTACCCCACCAGGTCCCATCAGCGGGCCAGAGGAGGCATGGGACATCCTGCAGCACACTAAGGGTGCAGGGTGCAGGGTGCATGGTACGGCTTCTACGGTGCATCGAGCATGGAGGCTCGTCTTCATCCCTTTCCACCTTCCTTGTCTTGTCCCATGCCAACCCTTCTGCCCGACCAGGGCCCATCAGCAGGCCAGAGGAGGCGACGTACATCCTGCAGCACATGCGGGGCGTGCACGGCTTCTATGGTGCTTCCAGCATGGAGGCCTGTCCATATCCTCTTCCACGTTCCTTGTCTTGCCCCATGCCAACCCTTATGCCCCACCAGGTCCCATCAGCGGGCCAGAGGAGGCGAGGTACATACTGCAGAACACGCGGGGCGTGCATGGCTTCTATGGTGCTTCCAGCATGGAACGCCTGCCTGTCGAAACAGCCATCACTGAGAATCTGAAGGCTTACAAGGCCATTCGCTTGTCTTCCTAAGCTGTGTGTAAGGAGATACGGTAATTACTGGGATGTCTCAAAAGTCGCGTCCAGCATGGAGTGCCTGCCGTTGAAATTGTCAGAATATTACGTTAGTCTAGTCTGCAGTGGGGTACTCAATAGTGAGTATAACCCTTTTAGGTATCCCACTGTACCAGTACCGCAATAGCTCATATAGAGCATGCGGAATGTCGAGGGTCACCCGAAGGTCAACCGTCGAGAGAAGTCAACGGTCGTGACCCTTGACCATCCGGCAACCGCGCGACAGTTGTTCGCTACAACATGGTAACTGTCGAGGATGGCAATAGTCGCGGTTACTGTAGCTATGCAATACAGTTAATAAGGGAATGTACCCCTCAGAGTACATGGCTAGCTAGGACTATTGCTAGGATGCTAGCTAGGGTGGCTCCTGTATTCCTATCTTATAGTAATCTTGTTCTCTTTCAACTATTATTCAACAAGGTCACTACAGAGACTTCATTGTCTCCTCTCAGACTTAACAGATCTTATCCTATCTACTTGATCTTTTGGTTATATCAGCATGGTATCAGAGCTAGAGTGGATTATAAGATTTTCCAAGTTCTCGTTCTTCCTAGAACAATCTCTTTATAAGTTTAGTCTATACATCTCTAAGGCTGCAATATCATGGCTCTTGAAGGAAAAGCTACTGCAGACTCACCGGGCCCACCACCAGCAACGACTATCCAATGCACCATCAGCGGTGACCTCCGTCAGCGCCGCTGTCGTTGAATAGCTAGTTGCACGCATCAACGCCCTTGAAAGCCATCAAGCAATGAGCGTTGATGGTTCAAGCTATGCACGTGGAGTTGCTGGACTTCCTCTCCCTGGAGAAGACCGCCGCGTCAACTCCGAGAGATCCTTCACCTTTGACAATCGTCAAGGGTCAGCTCCTGCACAAGACAACCCGCAACGAACACAGTCAGAAATCGCTTCCATGCAAACCAAGTTCGTTCTGACTTCAAAACTGAAGACCTCAACTTCTTTTGACGGCAAGAATTTCTACACGTGGAGTTTCGAATTCGAGCTTCTCGCGACAACCGCCTAGATCTGGTTGTACTACGACGGAAGCCTACCTTTTCCTTCGGAAGGCACCATCCAGGAGAAGCATCAATACTACCACGAATCCCTCCTCGCGTATACCGCTCTCCTTCGAAACCTCTCTCCCAAAGAACAGCTTAGCATTCGTCCATACAAGACGGAGTGGGCTCCCGCGCACGCATCCTGGGAACACCTGCGCAACTCATACATGGCAACAGATCCAGTCACTATGAGTCGCCTACTCAGCCAGCGTACTTCGGTTAAAATGAAGCAAGGGGAGAAAGCGGGACCGTATGTCAACCGGTGCCGCAATCTGCGCGATCAAGTCAAGAAGTGCGGTGGAACCGTTCCCGACGACATGTTCATCTCGATGGCCATCTCCGGTCTCGGCCCCGACTGGCGACAATGTCAGTCACTCCTCCGCGCTCGAGCAACGATTTCGGAGTCGGCTCTGTGCGTCACGCTCCTTTCGGAGCAGAAGGAGATCGCCCTGTACAACGAGAAGAATGTCAAACGGGAGAAATTGGTCTTCTGCACCACAAGGAGAGCAACGCGGAAAGAAGGGAGCTTTCTGCAAATACTGCAAGAAGTCTGGCCACACTATTGACCAGTGCTACAAGCGTCAGGCTGCTGATGAACGGCGCAACGTCTCCAGTCAGCAACCCTCGGCGCAAACAAAACCTTCTGCCGCAACCTCCACTGTGTCGCCTCCCTCGGTCGCCAGCACTTCTCAATCTCCTGCACTCATCACGGCGAAGGATAAAGGGAAAGGGACAATTATGAGCTGCATGGCTTGCCGCAACAGAGGGTTCCGATAATGGGATCGAGTAACATTCGCGTTTCACAATCCCATCAACCCTGTTGCGCCGAGCCCGGACAATGACCCAACAGTTTATACCTGGACGATCGTCCCTCAGACATTCCACCCGACTTCGAGTTCCCTCCACCTACTCCGGAATCGCCGACGAGCATCTCTGCAAACAGATACTTCGCTCTCTCACCGTACACCGGCGACTTTGATCGCATCGTCACGCCCAAGATCACCAACATCGCGCGCCAACGCCACGAGGATCTCAACACCTGGTACCTCGACAGTTGCTGTGGACAGCACACGGTGGGAACTTCCACCTCCATCAGTAACTCTCGGCGCATGCGACGACCCTGCGAAATCACCGCCGCCAACAACGGAAAGATGAAGGCATATGAGATTGGCGAAATCTACCTCGAAGCCAATGACACGAGGTTCACTATCCACATCGGAGACGTCCTCGTCGCACCTGAACTGCAATACAATCTGCTCTCCTCAGCTCAGCTCATGCGGTGTGGAGTCGACATTCGCAGCAATCGCAAGGATAAGACCTTCGAGCTATACTACAACGAAACTTACATCGGGAAGGCAATCGATAACGATGGAGTTTTCGTGCTGCAATTCTCTGCCCAAGGTACTACCGGTGATTCCCACCGCACGCTGCTGCTAAAGACAACTCCCACGGAGCCACCAACATGGTCACATCCCAAATGGATCTCGAGCGGCCTGCATCCGACGGCCTCCTACGCGCACCGTTCCGACCGCCTCGACCTCCAATCCTGCAGAGACCGGACCTGCCACAATGGAAGAAGACAGCGGCACGTCAAAACCTGCAGCGCTACCAACCGAGGAAAACAAGGCGGCGGAAACGGGGTGGACGGGATGGAGCACTCCCGAGCCCGCGCTTGGACCCTAGGGAGAAATCCTAACTCCAGAAGAAGCAACTGTTAGAAAGTAGAGACAGGAATGGATGAACTAGCAGCATGCAGGAGTACAAGTAGTAAACCCTAATTGGGTTGTACCCCATATGGGCTACCCCACTACAGCCTAGACAATATATGCAGCATATATGACACACCCCCATAGGCAAAGTGGGGGAGAACAAGGGGTCACACGACCAGTCATGAGAAGCAGAGCAAGCTCAGGGTGGATCACAACGTCACCGCACACTCTGAGCACAAGCAAAGGGCCACAAGGTCAGTTCACATGCAGAGATATATATGCAACAATAACAGTACAGTGATGACTACCTAGCAAGAGCCAGCATGCAGATATATATATATATATATATATATATCACAGTACAAGCAGAGACTACAGCAAGTGTGGAAACGTAGGCACAAGGCCTAACAGGGTACAAAAGCGCTGATGATCACCAGACGGAAGTGCCTTGGTGAATATATCAGCAGTGTTGGCCCGAGTGGCCACGTGGCGAAGACGAAGCTGGCCTCGCTGCTGCAAATCTCGAGCCAGGAAGTAACGCAGAGCGATGTGCTTCGTTCTGTGCTCCAGTCTGTGCTCCTCACACAATGCAATGGCAGCCTTGTTGTCAACGTACAGAACTGGAGGAGAACGAGGCCGCTCACCCAAGTCAGTCAGCAGGTAGGTGAGCCAGCGTAGCTCCTGTGCAGCCATGGCGGTGGCGTAGATCTCAGCCTCACAACTGGAGCTGAGAACAGAAGACGAGTGTGTAGACCGCCAAGAAACAGAGCCAGAGCCAAGGCTGAAGGTGTAACCCTGTGACGACCGCTGTGTAGTCTGGTCGTCAACCCAAGACGCGTCTGAGTGCCCAGTGAGGACCACCTCACTCCGTCCTCCAAGCACGAGCCCCATGCCTGATGTACTGCACAGGTAGCGCAACACCCTCTTGGCAGCATCCATGTGCACCTTTCGGTGCCTGCCAGGAGCCACGTAACGAGCCAAAAGACCAAGAGGGTATGCGAGGTCAGGTCGAGTGCAGGTCATCAGGTACATGAGGCAACCAACTAGCTCTGGGTAAGGACCACTCGGCTCTACGGACTTGTCCGAAGGTGGAGCTGAGAGCGAATGACCTGTAGCCACAGCAGTGTGCTGTGGGGAGGACCAGGAGAAGCCGAAGCGCTGAAGGACCTGCTGCACCATGTGTGACTGAGTCAGGGTGATGGTGCAGCGTGCTCTGTCTCGGGTGATCTGCAAGCCAAGGTAGCTGCACAGCTCACCCAGGTCTGTGCACGTATGTCTCTTCTGCAGCTCCGACTTCACATGAGCGAGAGCCTCAGTGTCAGCAGTGGCAAAGACCAAGTCGTCGACGTATACGAGGATGTAGAACGGCGGCAGCGAAGTGTTGGTGCGC